TTTCCATTCTACTTGTTCATATTTATATCCAGTGAAGATAGAATAGAAGTTTGGAGAAGGTGTATAGAACTTTATACCTCGAACTGAAAAATCTTCTAACTTTGACAATAAGATATCCCAAGCATCTAACATCTTCATACCAACTTGTACGACTTTTATTTTCTTAAGTTTCTGTCTACATTCTTGTTCAGACACTATTGTCGCTTTAGGTTTGTTAAAGACTACATCCCATTCTTTCATAACATAACATTCTGGGGCAGAGTCAACATAAATGACTAAACGTTTCAAATTCTCGACTGCTTTGTTATAGTCTCTAAATGGACACATATTTCTGAATGCTTGGAAGTCATAAAAATCTGAAACATCTATTCTGTACATTTTTATAAAAATAAAAAAAATATTTTTTTTATTCTTGACTTTGTTGTTCCATTTGTTGCATTTGTTGTTCTTGAGCTATTTGTTGTTGAAGTTGTTCTTGTAATACAATACTTTCACCAGTTGCATCTTCCAATTCGAAACTTTCTGCCGTCATTGACAAATACATAGGACATAAAAGTTTTACAGGAACAAAGTTTGCGTCAACTAATGTCAACGTTATACTTGCCAATGTTTGAGTTCACTAAGGTTGAAAATTCTGCATTCGAATGAACAATAGGCAAACCAGCAGAGAAAGTATTGTTTATACGCATAAGTATCTTTTGGTCATAGTAGTTTCTGTCGACATTCGAATAGCACTTTGAACCTAAGTTTGAAACAATATATAAAATAGGTGTGCTTAATGTCAATGGAATAGACATTCCTTGTATGACACCTTTTCCTGTTATAGGAAACTGTTGGTAGTAAAAACCAGAAATAAGTTTTGTATTATAGCTCATATTGTTTATAGTAAACTCAGTCGGACATCCAAACATAACGAAACCTGCTCTAGTTGCAGCACATGTTACACCCGTACTTAAAGTATTAAATAAGTCAACAAAACCTGTTGGTGGTATATCTGAGTAAGTATCTTCAAAGGAGTATTTTTACCATTCACAACAATAAAGTCTTCTGGTGTCAAAAGAGCAAAACAGGCTTTAGTCGTCATTGTGTTTAAGGTTAGTTTACAATACCGTCCTTGAGGACTTTGTAAGTTTGTTGTTATAGAATTATATGACTCAGGGTTTTTAGTCGTAATAGTATAAACCATTATATCTTCTGCCATTTATATATATTTAAAAGTTTTTCTGAAAGTGGAGAAGAACTTCATCTAAACTTTCACATGGCGTTTCTTGAAGTTCTCTGTCTAAGAAGTTCAAATATTTTGTAAAGACATAGAACTTTCCTTTGTCTACACGAACAAACAAAACAGGGTCTTTCATATCGTTCAAAAGTGTGTAAAGTCCTTTACATGAAATAAAGTCTATATTATTTTTCTTCAAACATCTTTCAAGAAGTTTTGACATTTTACTTAGCAAATAAATTTTAATGAAATGTTGTGGTCGTCAAATATTTTTATGACGTCTGGGAAACTATACTTTAAGTTCAACGTTTCACCTCCTTTCATAACGTATATCTTGTCAATGACATTATATGAAACACCACAGCAACTAATGTCGGGTTCTATTTCTTTGATGTTTATATCGTCTGCCTCTGTCAAAAGTTTCAATAGTTCTTTCAAAACTTCATGAGGTGCAATGACATATGAGTTCACTTTTACAGGGTTGTGTTCGACCAAGTTTAACATTATACCTAAAGCTTGACAAATCTTCTCCTGAGTTTGAAGTTTGTCTTTCAGTTGTTGGTAGTCGTTTCGAATATCTGCAACAGAACTTAAGTCTCTGCTAACTTCAGGATATGTTGGTTCTTTTACAGGAACAATTGCTATACCATCTTCGTCTTCGTATGGTTTCCCCACTTCAACATCTCTGTCTTTGACATTGACAACAACACTTTGACTGTTTGTTTGAGTTGGTGAATTTAACTTCACATCTGCCACCGCCATTAAACCTTTTGAAACACTTACGCTTCTATTTTCGGAAATGACATTTTACTTAGAATAAAAGATGGACGTATTCGAGTATCTCTTCGAATTGAAGCAGAACAAAGTTTACACACACAAACAATACAAATACATTGACAGAATAGTTCTTTATACAAACAATGGAAAATGTTATAGAATAGCAATATTTGCTGAACCAAAATATTTCCATAAAGCAAAGAAAGTTGGTATAACTGAAATGGTGAAAGTTCTTGACGTTGACAAAAATATAACAACAAAACTTACAGATATTTCTAAAGGAAAGTTTATCTTACAATATTATGTCAAAACTGGCGTACTGTCAATATTTGACGGAGAGAAGTCAGTTCAAGAACAACTTACTGACCTGCTGCCAAAATCTGCTCGATGGAAGCTGTCGTTATGCCAATCTGAGGAGCCCCAGCAGGTTTCATCGAACGAATCTTCAAAAGAGCATCTTCCGTGAAAAGTGCTATTGGTTTTGTAAACTTCTTTGCTCTCAGTTCATCTGGACCGTCTCTGTCACCAGTATATTGTATTTGTACAGTACCAACAGTTGAAATACCACCCATAAAGTCTTCTGAGTCAGCAAATGGAATGCCAAGCCAAAAGTTTGAACGGTCTCCATTTGTATATTGAGTTTTTTGACCTCCTGTATGAGTCCATACTTTCACATATGGCATAATAGAACTTTGCATTTCAGGGTTAATGGTCGTTGTGAAGTTGTTGTTAAAGTTCATAGCATCTAATGTCAAGTTGTATGACCTCATATCCTCAACTGTAGAATATTCTTCTCTTGGATAATATTTGCCATCTATGTTTATATGATATTTAATACCGGGGTTGTAGAAACAAGAATAGTCATTTATAGTTCGTCTGAACAGTACAAACATAGTATCTGCATGTTTCATTGCAGTTGTTAAAGCAATATCTGTTCTTGCACCTGGGTCAGCACTTTGGTTTCCAACTTCACCTGCAAAGTCTTTGACAGATATTTGGTGTATAGGGAACATAAGTGGAACTGCAATATATTTGGCAGCTAAAGCATTTGAAATATCTGGGTCCAACATATAGACTGCAAGTCTGCTTTCTATTCTCTTGCATTCAAACTTTTCGCATGTAAACTTAACTGGGTCCCAAGCAGTTCCAGCAGCATTGAAATAATAGTTTACTTCATTGTTGAAGTTTGAGAAACCAAAGTCTAAGTCAACTTTGTCTTTGCAAAAGTCACAGAACTTGGCTCCACCAGTTCCAGCTACAGTAATGCTGAATGGGTCTTGTGTTGGTGCAATGACTAAGTTATTTTTGCTTGGAGTAAGTTCAATAGAAATTTTTCCTGCCCAGTTTGGCAAGTATCTTAAAAACCTGAAGATGAGGAAAGATGACAAAGGAACTCTAAGTTTCAGTTTTACTTTAGTGGCAGCAGTTCCATCTGAACCAGAAAGGTTAACATAAACTCCTGGAACGTTAGGGTCAAGTCTTCTTATTTTCTCAATATTTGCATACTGGTCTGTTTGTTCTCTAGCTTGTGGTTGTACTGAGTTTCTCAAAGCGAACCATTCATAGTTTGCCCATGTTACTGTTTGAACTAAGTCAGAGTTAGAATATATCTTATATCCCATGAAAACTTCTGGAGCATATTGGTATCCGACATAGAAAATTCCATTGCAACCTTTCTTGTCAGACAACTTGGCAGAAGGTTTTATTTCAATGTCTTGTTCCACGTATAAGAATGAGTTGTCAATAGAAATAATATGAAACCTGTCGCAAGCAATATCTACTGTTGTTGAAGAACCTTCTCCAAACTCACCTACGTTTACATAAGAAACAGCAGTTGTATATTCGTAAGTTCCAGGAACTATTTCTGACCTTCTAATGGCATTGTCGCATTCGTTATACCATTCGGAAACATTTCCGTTCATGGCATCCAAAACTGTTGGCGTTATATTCTGAGCGGCGTACATTTCATATGGGTAAAAATATAGAATAGTTGGATTTATATATCATAATAGAACCCACTCGGACCAAGCTTTTACTTTGTTCTACTCTTCTTCTTTGGTGTCGCTTTTGGTAACTTGCCCTCTGCTTCAAGTTGTTGCATCTTTGCCTCATGTTCACCTAGTATGTTGTAAATTTCACGTGTCCTTTTTGCCTTTGGGCTCTGGTCGCCCATCTCAGGTAACCTATATCCTAGAAAGATTTTGTCATAGTTTGTATTTGAGTCTTCGCGTATTGTTTGCATGACTCTTTCCTGAGTTTCCGGTTCAAGCTCTTCAAACAGAGCTTGTCCATATGGAATAAGCTCGTTTCCAAATATATGTTTTTGTAGCCATTCTGGTTTTCTTTCCATGTTACCAATAATATCTTTTGTGAATGGGAAAGCTTTTACCCAATGTTTCAGTCTTGCGTCATTTATTTCTGTAGTTGGTTTTATTTTGTCAAGGAACATGTTTTTCAATACTAACATTTCATTTGGTACTGTCCATTTGAGTTTTCTTAAATATTCATCCCTTCTCAGTTCATTGTCTGCAAAGTAAGTTTTTATGACATTTTGTAAACTTTCGTTTGCAAGGTCATGTACAATAGGTTCTCTTCCTTCTATCTCCCTAACTTTCTTTCTAAACTCTTCACCAAATATACCATCTCTATGGTTCTGTGTAGTTCTTTGAGATAAATGTTCTAGAACGTCAGGTGTTATATTTCCATCAGCCATGTTCATTTCATACTGGTCCAAAATATCTGCATGTTTCATATCTTTCAATGGCATTAAAGCCGCGCTGAAAATACCAGCTATATCTGGTTCACCATTCACTTCCATTGCGTCTACAACTTCTTGGAATTGAGGTTGTAAGTTTATGAACCACCTATCCGGATTAGCTTTATGACCCCATCTCATTGTAGTTCCATAGTCTGCAGAAACAAAAGTAGGTTTGTTTCCATATTGGTTAGGTTCTGAATGAACTTTAAACAATGTTTCATTTCTATATGTTTTGGTGAAATTTAACCTTTTATTTTCACCGAGTTCAGCCAAAGATTGAACGTTATATGGTCGTAAGTAAAAAGGATTGTTGTATTTGCGTACACTTTCTTTCAGTTCTTCCATTCTATGCTGAATATTTTCATCTGATGTTGGAGTCTTTTGTATGTCGGTGAACATTTTTCGATATTCTTCTACTATGTCAGCCGAATTTTTCTTAGACTCTTGGAAAGATTCCATATTCTCCGCATACTCTTGTTGAGGGTCAAGATTTTTCGGCTGTTCCAAATCTTCATCTAGTTCTGTGAAGTTAGTTTCCAAAGGAGGGACTTGTTCGTTTCCTTCAGGCTCTTCTAGCTGTTGTTGCTGAACTATTTCTTCCATGTCTGGTTGTATCTGAACTTCTTCCTGTGGAGTTTCTTGTACCTCATCTGCTGGCATTTCATATATTCCGAGACCGTTTTTAACAAGTTCCCTATTTAAGCCATCCGCATTCATAACCCTTTCTTCTTTCGTTCCGTCTCTATTTTTTACGCGTTTCATGAAGATAGTTGAATTATCATTTATCTCTGACACCAAATATCTCGGAGTAAATTCATCCATGTCATTTGGATGATATGCTATTAAATCATATCCCTTAGCGAGCTTGTATTTTCCAGGTTTGAAATTATATCCCATTTGGTGCTGAACCATAAAGCTAAATAGGTTCGGGTCAGTATTTCCTTCCTTGAACTTTCTAATAGCTTCTTTATATCTGTCACTAAAGTCAAGAGTATCTGGGTAACCATAATTTTCCTTAAGCATTTTTAAGAATTCTTGGTTTCCTTGTTCTCTACTTCTTTTATGTCCTTGCTCTGTTTGTGGTGGTTGTGGTGCAGTGTTTTGAACTGTTGGTTGTTGTGCAGTGTTTTGAACTGTTGGTTGTGGTGCAGTGTTTTGAACTGTTGGTTGTTGTGCAGTGTTTTGAACTGTTGGTTGTTGTGCAGTGTTTTGAACTGTTGGTTGTTGTGTTGGTTGTTGTGTTGGTTTTGGTGCATGCCTGTGTCTGTGTCCATGTGACGATGTAAATGTTTTAGGTAGTCCTGGTGCAGGTGCTTCTCTTGGAGGGTTTGGTGGTATATAAGTTCCACTAGCTAGTATATAAGTTCCACCAGCTGGTATATAAGTTCCACCAGCTGGCACATATGTTCCATCTGCAGCATAATGTCCTACCTGACTTTTCGTTTTTAAGAAAGCATTTACTAGGTCTGTTTTGGTCTGTTGTAACTCTTTTTCTTGACTTTCCACAACAGTTGCTCTAACGGCGTCATAGGCACTTTGAACTGCCTGTCTCGTTGCTGCATCTGTTATTTTCGTCATATTTTGTGCTACTTCTCTTAACTCTTTGTCGAAACCTTCAGACTTCAGTTTCTTTCCAGATGAGAAGTCGTTCACTAGTTTCACCTTACTATGAAGAGCTTCGAAGGCGTTCTTAAAGTCAGCATTCATTAAAGCTTCATTTGAACTGTCTTCATCCGCTTGTATTTTTGTCCTTATTGACCCTATAAGTTGGGCTGCTTTAGCGTTGGCTTGGGCATCTAACCAGTCATTATTAGCTTTTATATATTCTGCGCTTTTCATTGCCTTTTGCATGGCTGCGTCGTTATTTTTACTTTCTTGTGCTAAGTTTTCATACTGTACGGTTTGGTTTTGCAACTGTAAAAGTTTTTCTGCCTTTACATTTGCTTCAACTTCTTTTTTATACTCATCGCTATCCATATATGTCTTCAGGGCTTTTTGTTTTATTTCTTCATCTTTCAGTACTTTATATTGAGTAGTATGGTTTTTCAAATTTATAACATCTTGTTCCATTTTTGCTACTTCTGCTGCTTTTTCTGACACTTTTTTCGCATATTCCTCTGTACTTAGTTCTTTCAGTTGTTCTTCTTTCTTCTTTTTCTCTACGTTTAACTCATTGAGTTTCTTTGTGTGTCTGTCATATTCTAGTTTCTTTTCGTTTTCACTTATTTGTTTCTGTATGTCTATGTTTGACTTTTTGACATATGTTATTTGATTTTTGAGTGAACTCAAATTCATTTGACTTTGAGGGTTATAAGCTGTTCCGTCTGCAGCTCCACCATAGCCTGCCATTTTCGCTAAAAGTGCCGCTCTTAAACCTCCACTCTGTGCACCAATAACTCGGTTTAAAAGCATAGGGTTGCTTGACATTTGTTGCAACATAGTGGGGTCATTCATAATTTGTTGTTGCAACTGTTGTTGTGGTGTTAGTTTTACTATTGGATGTTTCAATGCTCTCTTCCTCTTACGTATATTCTTACGTAGCTTACGTGGCATTTTAAGTGAAGTTAAAAAGCGGTTTTGACGGTTGTTTGTATGACACTTTTTGTTCAGCACAAAAAACTATCCGGTCAAAAGTGTTGTCAGTTTTGTAAAATAACCGTCCTATCTCCGTGCCTATGACGAAGAAATCATGAAAATTCAAGAGGGTAGAAAAGAGGTTAGAAAAGAGGTTAGATCTAACCTTCTACCCTAAATTATATTTTTGGTCATTTACACTCATTACGAAGAAGTCTTGACAAAACATGTACGTTCATGTTTGACAAAACATTTACGAAGAAATCATGACAAATTCAAGAGGGTAGAAAAGAGGTTAGAAAAGAGGTTAGATCTAACCTTCTACCCTAAATTATATTTTTGGTCATTTACACTCATTACGAAGAAGTCTTGACAAAACATGTACGTTCATGTTTGACAAAACATTTACGAAGAAGTCTTGACAAAACATTTACGAAGAAGTCTTGACAAAACATTTACGAAGAAGTCTTGACAAAACATGTACGTTCATGTTTGACAAAACATGAAAACATATATAATTTGTGAAAAGCGACACATTATATATAATGTTTTCGACCCAGAAGACTAACAATTTTTCCGAATAAAAACTTCATTTATTACTAAACATCATCAGGGCTAGAAGGCACGAAGTGCCTGGAAGCCCCACTACCTTTTTTTTTTTTTTTTTTTTTTGGTAATGACTAGATATATTATGCACTTTTGAATTCATACATTTTTTGAAAAAATTGTATTTTCAAAAAAAGATGTTGTTTCAGTATGAACTTGAAGAGAAATTTTAAGGAAAATAAGTTTTGAACGCTTAGATAGGGGTAAAATCAGACTTTATGAGGTATGTTGTATAATTATAGTTTGTGCTGTAATATGTCATGAGATCAGAATATGAAGGGAGTATATATGTGTTATTGTCACATGTATATATGTGAGGATAGCTCAGTAGAGTCTGTAAAATAGTTTAGTAGAAGAAAAAGTTATATAAAGAACAAAAAATTAAAAATAAACATTATTAAGTGAAAACCAAAGTTTACCTATTTTATGTAAGTTTTTGTCTTTGTGGGTTGAGGTATATGACAAAAAAGATTGGATAATGCACTCTTGTCGGTCAAACTTCCGCGTTCAAGTTATGAATGCGGAACATTGTTCCATTCTGGGAGACATGCAGAGGCAATGTCTCCCAGAATGAGACACTGCGACCGACAAGAGTGCACAATACACTCTTGTCGGTCAAACTTCCGCGTTCAAGTTATCAATGCGGAACATTGTTCCATTCTGGGAGACATGCAGAGGCAATGTCTCCCAGAATGAGACACTGCGACCGACAGAGTGCACAATACACTCTTGTCGGTCAAACTTCCGCGTTCAAGTTATCAATGCGGAACATTGTTCCATTCTGGGAGACATGCAGAGGCAATGTCTCCCAGAATGAGACACTGCGACCGACAGGAGTGCACAATACACTCTTGTCGGTCAAACTTCCGCGTTCAAGTTATCAATGCGGAACATTGTTCCATTCTGGGAGACATGCAGAGGCAATGTCTCCCAGAATGAGACACTGCGACCGACAGGAGTGCACAATACACTCTTGTCGGTCAAACTTCCGCGTTCAAGTTATCAATGCGGAACATTGTTCCATTCTGGGAGACATGCAGAGGCAATGTCTCCCAGAATGAGACACTGCGACCGACAGGAGTGCACAATACACTCTTGTCGGTCAAACTTCCGCGTTCAAGTTATCAATGCGGAACATTGTTCCATTCTGGGAGACATGCAGAGGCAATGTCTCCCAGAATGAGACACTGCGACCGACAGGAGTGCACAATACACTCTTGTCGGTCAAACTTCCGCGTTCAAGTTATCAATGCGGAACATTGTTCCATTCTGGGAGACATGCAGAGGCAATGTCTCCCAGAATGAGACACTGCGACCGACAGGAGTGCACAATACACTCTTGTCGGTCAAACTTCCGCGTTCAAGTTATCAATGCGGAACATTGTTCCATTCTGGGAGACATGCAGAGGCAATGTCTCCCAGAATGAGACACTGCGACCGACAGGAGTGCACAATACACTCTTGTCGGTCAAACTTCCGCGTTCAAGTTATCAATGCGGAACATTGTTCCATTCTGGGAGACATGCAGAGGCAATGTCTCCCAGAATGAGACACTGCGACCGACAGGAGTGCACAATACACTCTTGTCGGTCAAACTTCCGCGTTCAAGTTATCAATGCGGAACAGTGTCTCATTCGAGGAGCCCTCGAAAAGAACCTCACATCGACTCTCTCTTTCCGGCATCTTTACCGCATAGAAAACTGCTCGTTCGCAACTTTGTGTGCAATCTAAGAGATGATTGCGGTAAAGATGCCGGGAAGATTGATGCTGCAGCCCCAGGCCGCACTCAGATTTCATCCCGCTACACAATTGTTCATCCAACAACTGTCATAGAGGTTGAAATTTTCGACCAGAAGTGAAACATATCATTTTTAAGACTGCGGCGCGCAAGCAAGTTTGAACCTTTCAAGGGTGATCAGTCCTTTACTCATTTCAAGACCTCTTGTTGCCTGATAAAACGATACTTCCTTCCTTGTGGGCCATTGAAAACCGCCCAAACCGTCACAACTTGCTTCCTAAATTTTATTTGCGGAGTAATTATCATGCATATTTTATCGGATAATAATATCAAAGCTAAATTTCATATTATTTTTTAAAGATATGCATTTTCTGTCTAAATTTATTTTTTCTGTTTCCAATTCACGGAATAATATTCTTACAAGCATATACATAGCTAATATATATCATTTTAATAATAATAAAACCAAAATGATGTATTCTTCATATAGTTATTTAAAATTCGTTAACTAGAATTGTATTCAGAACGAGGCAAAGTTAGGAGATACATAAAAACCAATAACTTGATAAGTGATACCTTTTTTCCTGATATATCTATATGTGTTAATGTCAAACACGATTTGGAAAAATTAATTCTTTAAATCGGCTTAAGAATAAGACCAACATCAAAAGCATGGCTAATAAATTAATAAATCAATGTTTAATTACCGATTCATGCATTTTTTTCAAAATTTCAAATTTCAAATTTTTGTTTCTCCAAAATATTAATTGTTTCCACTAGATTAACAAATAAACAATAAATTGGATTAATGTAATGCCCAATCATTCATTTTAAATTTTAGATTTAAAACAATATTTTTCTCCATATTATTCTAACATGAATCGCTATGATATAAGAAATATATTTTCAATATTGAAATTGAAAAATTCTAAAATTTTTGAAATTCAATTTGAGTGTGATGATCGATAACATATATTTTTTAATTAAAATCTTGTGTCGCTATCATATAAATATACTATTTCTAAATTAAAAATAGAAAAAAAGTACTATTTAATGATGAAATTGCAAATAATATCAATATATATATATTCATGCTGATATATTTTGGGAACAGATTGGCAATCACATAAATAGGATTGTGTTAGTTTGTCATGGATATAAAACAAATTTTCGAGCTAATTGAGCGAATTTAAATCACAAACACTTATATTTTCTATTACAAGGTATATTTGTAATATACAACCAGTAAATAGCTTTCTCTAACTTTTACCAGCTTAGATGATAGCAAATTAGATACGAATTTCATGACCCCTCACCAAATTCCACTAAAACATATACAAATAAAAGTACTAAGTGGGTATCATCTAACCCTAGAATTATAGCTCCTAGGACTCATCCTAGATGGTAGTTCTGGAAAAACACCTGGTTTTTGGAGTTGCAAAAGTTAAAAATTGAGGGTAAAACAAATCAAATTCATTTTCCAAAGTTTTCAAGTCACAAAAAACACAAAGCATGTTTTAGACCATGGTTGAAAAAAAAAAAAAAAAAAAAAAGGTAGTGGGGCCTCCAGGCACTTCGTGCCCTCTAGCCCTGAAGATGTTTAGTATAATGAAGTTTTTTTTTTTCTTGGGATGAGCTTCCAGGCGCGTTGCGCCCTCTAGCCCATAAAAAATTTCTGAGGACGAGCCAGCCGTTGACTTTTTTGTAGAGCACTCAAAATAGTATAACTTTGTCCGGACAAGTAAGGGTCTATCGTCGCTACAGGAAAAGTTACCGGCGTTCCAAGGAAGTATACTTTGAGAAGCCTTTCCCCCCTTATAGAATGAGATCGGACGGTTATTTTACAAAACTGACAACACTTTGACCGAGTAGTTTTTTGTGCTGAACAAAAGTGTCATATAAACATCTGTCAAAAACCGCTTTTTAACTTCACTTAAAATGCCACGTAAGCTACGTAAGAATATACGTAAGAGGAAGAGAGCATTGAAACATCCAATAGTAAAACTGACACCACAACAACAGTTGCAACAACAAATGATGAATGACCCCACTATGTTGCAACAAATGTCAAGCAACCCTATGCTTTTAAACCGAGTTATTGGTGCACAGAGTGGAGGTTTAAGAGCGGCACTTTTAGCGAAAATGGCAGGCTATGGTGGAGCTGCAGACGGAACAGCTTATAACCCTCAAAGTCAAATGAATTTGAGTTCACTCAAAAATCAAATAACAGATGTCAAAAAGTCAAACATAGACATACAGAAACAAATAAGTGAAAACGAAAAGAAACTAGAATATGACAGACACACAAAGAAACTCAATGAGTTAAACGTAGAGAAAAAGAAGAAAGAAGAACAACTGAAAGAACTAAGTACAGAGGAATATGCGAAAAAAGTGTCAGAAAAAGCAGCAGAAGTAGCAAAAATGGAACAAGATGTTATAAATTTGAAAAACCATACTACTCAATATAAAGTACTGAAAGATGAAGAAATAAAACAAAAAGCCCTGAAGACATATATGGATAGCGATGAGTATAAAAAAGAAGTTGAAGCAAATGTAAAGGCAGAAAAACTTTTACAGTTGCAAAACCAAACCGTACAGTATGAAAACTTAGCACAAGAAAGTAAAAATAACGACGCAGCCATGCAAAAGGCAATGAAAAGCGCAGAATATATAAAAGCTAATAATGACTGGTTAGATGCCCAAGCCAACGCTAAAGCAGCCCAACTTATAGGGTCAATAAGGACAAAAATACAAGCGGATGAAGACAGTTCAAATGAAGCTTTAATGAATGCTGACTTTAAGAACGCCTTCGAAGCTCTTCATAGTAAGGTGAAACTAGTGAACGACTTCTCATCTGGAAAGAAACTGAAGTCTGAAGGTTTCGACAAAGAGTTAAGAGAAGTAGCACAAAATATGACGAAAATAACAGATGCAGCAACGAGACAGGCAGTTCAAAGTGCCTATGACGCCGTTAGAGCAACTGTTGTGGAAAGTCAAGAAAAAGAGTTACAACAGACCAAAACAGACCTAGTAAATGCTTTCTTAAAAACGAAAAGTCAGGTAGGACATTATGCTGCAGATGGAACATATGTGCCAGCTGGTGGAACTTATATACCACCAAACCCTCCAAGAGAAGCACCTGCACCAGGACTACCTAAAACATTTACATCGTCACATGGACACAGACACAGGCATGCACCAAAACCAACACAACAACCAACACAACAACCAACAGTTCAAAACACTGCACCACAACCAACAGTTCAAAACACTGCACAGCAACCAACAGTTCAAAACCCTGCACAGCAACCAACAGTTCAAAACCCTGCACAACAACAACCACAAACAGAGCAAGGACATAAAAGAAGTAGAGAACAAGGAAACCAAGAATTCTTAAAAATGCTTAAGGAAGACTATGGTTACCCAGATACTCTTGACTTTAGTGACAGATATAAAGAAGCTATTAGAAAGTTCAAGGAAGGAAATACTGACCCGAACCTATTTAGCTTTATGGTTCAGCACCAAATGGGATATAATTTCAAACCTGGAAAATACAAGCTCGCTAAGGGATATGATTTAATAGCATATCATCCAAATGACATGACTGAATTTACTCCGAGATATTTGGTGTCAGAGCTAAATGATAATTCAACTCTCTTCATGAAACGCGTAAAAAATAGAGACGGAACGAAAGAAGAAAGGTTTATGAGTCCGGATGACTTAGATAGGGAACTTGTTAAAAACGGTCTCGGAATATATGAAATGCCAGCAGATGAGGTACAAGAAACTCCACAGGAAGAAGTTCAGATACAACCAGACATGGAAGAAATAGTTCAGCAACAACAGCTAGAAGAGCCTGAAGGAAACGAACAAGTCCCTCCTTTGGAAACTAACTTCACAGAACTAGATGAAGATTTGGAACAGCCGAAAAATCTTGACCCTCAACAAGTGTATGCGGGGAATATGGAATCTTTCCAAGAGTCTAAGAAAAATTCGGCTGACATAGTAGAAGAATATCGAAAAATGTTCGCCGACATACAAAAGACTCCAACATCAGATGAAAATATTCAGCATAGAATGGAAGAACTGAAAGAAAGTGTACGCAAATACAACAATCCTTTTTACTTACGACCATATAACGTTCAATCTTTGGCTGAACTCGGTGAAAATAAAAGGTTAAATTTCACCAAAACATATAGAAATGAAACATTGTTTAAAGTTCATTCAGAACCTAACCAATATGGAAACAAACCTACTTTTGTTTCTGCAGACTATGGAACTACAATGAGATGGGGTCATAAAGCTAATCCGGATAGGTGGTTCATAAACTTACAACCTCAATTCCAAGAAGTTGTAGACGCAATGGAAGTGAATGGTGAACCAGATATAGCTGGTATTTTCAGCGCGGCTTTAATGCCATTGAAAGATATGAAACATGCAGATATTTTGAACCAGTATGAAATGAACATGGCTGATGGAAATATAACACCTGACGTTCTAGAACATTTATCTCAAAGAACTACACAGAACCATAGAGATGGTATATTTGGTGAAGAGTTTAGAAAGAAAGTTAGGGAGAGAGAAGGAAGAGAACCTATTGTACATGACCTTGCAAACGAAAGTTTGCAAAATGTCATAAAAACTTACTTTGCAGACAATGAACCGAGAAGGGATGAATATTTAAGAAAACTCAAATGGACAGTACCAAATGAAATGTTAGTATTGAAAAACATGTTCCTTGACAAAATAAAACCAACTACAGAAATAAATGACGCAAGACTGAAACATTGGGTAAAAGCTTTCCCATTCACAAAAGATATTATTGGTAACATGGAAAGAAAACCAGAATGGCTACAAAAACATATATTTGGAAACGAGCTTATTCCATATGGACAAGCTCTGTTTGAAGAGCTTGAACCGGAAACTCAGGAAAGAGTCATGCAAACAATACGCGAAGACTCAAATACAAACTATGACAAAATCTTTCTAGGATATAGGTTACCTGAGATGGGCGACCAGAGCCCAAAGGCAAAAAGGACATGGGAAATTTACAACATACTAGGTGAACATGAGGCAAAGATGCAACAACTTGAAGCAGAGGGCAAGTTACCAAAAGCGACACCAAAGAAGAAGAGTAGAACAAAGTGAAAATAGTGAAGAAGTAACTTCATCTAGTGAAAGTAGTGGCAATGAAGGAAAAAGAAGAGTTAAAAACTCAGTCAGGAAGAAAGTAAAGCTTGGTACGAAACAATTATGACAAATAAATCCAACTATTCTATATTTTTACCCATATGAAATGTACGCCGCTCAGAATATAACGCCAACAATTTTGGATGCCATGAACGGAAATGTTTCCGAATGGTATAACGAATGCGACAATGCCATTAGAAGGTCAGAAATAGTTCCTGGAACTTACGAATATACAACTGCTGTTTCTTATGGAAACGTAGGTGAGTTTGGAGAAGGTTCTTCAACAACAGTAGATATTGCTTGCGACAGGTTTCATATTATTTCTATTGACAACTCATTCTTATACGTGGAACAAGACATTGAAATAAAACCTTCTGCCAAGTTGTCTGACAAGAAAGGTTGCAATGGAATTTTCTATGTCGGATACCAATATGCTCCAGAAGTTTTCATGGGATATAAGATATATTCTAACTCTGACTTAGTTCAAACAGTAACATGGGCAAACTATGAATGGTTCGCTTTGAGAAACTCAGTACAACCACAAGCTAGAGAACAAACAGACCAGTATGCAAATATTGAGAAAATAAGAAGACTTGACCCTAACGTTCCAGGAGTTTATGTTAACCTTTCTGGTTCAGATGGAACTGCTGCCACTAAAGTAAAACTGAAACTTAGAGTTCCTTTGTCATCTTTCCTCATCTTCAGGTTTTTAAGATACTTGCCAAACTGGGCAGGAAAAATTTCTATTGAACTTACTCCAAGCAAAAATAACTTAGTCATTGCACCAACACAAGACCCATTCACTCTTACAGACGTAAAGGGAACAAATCAAACGTCATTCGCCGAATTTTGCAAAGGCAAGGTTGACTTAGACTTTGGTTTCTCAAACTTCAACAATGAAGTAAACTATTATTTCAATGCTGCTGGAACTGCTTGGGACCCAGTTAAGTTTACATGCGAAAAATTTGAATGCAAGAGAATAGAAAGCAGACTTGCAGTCTATATGTTGGACCCAGATATTTCAAATGCTTTAGCTGCCAAATATATTGCAGTTCCACTTATGTTCCCTATACACCAAATATCTGTCAAAGACTTTGCAGGTGAAGTTGGAAACCAAAGTGCTGACCCAGGTGCAAGAACAGATATTGCTTTAAACAACTGCAATGAAACATGCAGATACTATGTTTGTACTGTTCAGACGAACTATAAATGACTATTCTTGTTTCTACAACCCCGGTATTAAATATCATATAAACATAGATGGCAAATATTATCCAAGAGAAGAATATTCTACAGTTGAGGATATGAGGTCATACAACTTGACATTAGATGCTATGAACTTTAACAACAACTTCACAACAACCATTAACCCTGAAATGCAAAGTTCTATTATGCCATATGTGAAAGTATGGACTCATACAGGAGGTCAAAAAACTCAATATACAAATGGAGACCGTTCAAACTTTTGGCTTGGCATTCCATTTGCTGACTCAGAAGACTTTATGGGTGGTATTTCAACTGTTGGTACTGTACAAATACAATATACTGGTGACAGAGACGGTCCAGATGAACTGAGAGCAAAGAAGTTTACAAAACCAATAGCACTTTTCACGGAAGATGCTCTTTTGAAGATTCGTTCGATGAAACCTGCTGGGGCTCCTCAGATTGGCATAACGACAGCTTCCATCGAGCAGATTTTGGCAGCAGGTCAGTAAGTTGTTCTTGAACTGACTTCTCTCGTCAAATATTGACAGTACGCCAGTTTTGACATAATATTGTAAGATAAACTTACCTTTAGAAATATCTGTAAGTTTTGAAGTTATATTTTTGTCAACGTCAAGAACTTTCACCATCTCGGTTATACCAACTTTCTTTGCTTTATGAAAATATTTAGGTTCAGCAAAGACTGCTATTCTATAACATTTACCATTGTTTGTATAAAGAACTATTCTGTCAATGTATTTGTATTGTTTGTGTGTGTAAACTTTGTTCTGCTTCAATTCGAAGAGATACTCGAATACGTCCATCTTTTTATTCTAAGTAAAATGTCATTTCCGAAAAATAGAAGCGTAAGTGTTTCAAAAGGTTTAATGGCGGTGGCAGATGTGAAGTTAAATTCACCAACTCAAACAAACAGTCAAAGTGTTATTGTCAATGTCAAAGACAGAGATGTTGAAGTGGGGAAACCATACGAGGACGAAGATGGTATAACAATTGTTCCTGTAAAGAACAACCAACATATCCTGAAGTTAGCAGAGACTTAAGTTCTGTTGCAGATATTCGAAATGACTACCAACAACTGAAAGACAAACTTCAAACTCAGGAGAAGATTTGTCAAGCTTTAAGTATAATGTTAAACTTGGTCGAACACAACCCTGTAAAAGTGAACTCATATGTCATTGCACCTCATGAAGTTTTGAAAGAACTATTGAAACTTTTGACAGAGGCAGACGATATAAACATCAAAGAAATAGAACCCGACATTAGTTGCTGTGGTGTTTCATATAATGTCATTGACAAGATATACGTTATGAAAGGAGGTGAAACGTTGAACTTAAAGTATAGTTTCCCAGACGTTATAAAAATATTTGACGACCACAACATTTCATTAAAATTTATTTGCTAAGTAAAAATGTCAAAACTTCTTGAAAGATGTTTGAAGAAAAATAATATAGACTTTATTTCATGTAAAGGACTTTACACACTTTTGAACGATATGAAAGACCCTGTTTTGTTTGTTCGTGTAGACAAAGGAAAGTTCTATGTCTTTACAAAATATTTGAACTTCTTAGACAGAGAACTTCAAGAAACGCCATGTGAAAGTTTAGATGAAGTTCTTCTCCACTTTCAGAAAAACTTTTAAATATATATAAATGGCAGAAGACATAATGGTTTATACTATTACGACTAAAAACCCTGAGTCATATAATTCTATAACAACAAACTTACAAAGTCCTCAAGGACGATATTGTAAACTAACCTTAAACACAATGACGACTAAAGCCTGTTTTGCTCTTTTGACACCAGAAGACTTTATTGTTGTGAATGGTAAAAAATACTCCTTTGAAGATACTTACTCAGATATACCACCAACAGGTTTTGTTGACTTATTTAATACTTTAAGTACGGGTGTAACATGTGCTGCAACTAGAGCAGGTTTCATTATGTTTGGATGTCCGACTGAGTTTACTATAAACGATATGAGCTATAATACAAAACTTATTTCTGGTTTTTACTACCAACAGTTTCCTATAACAGGAAAAGGTGTCATACAAGGAATGTCTATTCCATTGACATTAAGCACACCAATCTTATATATTGTTTCAAACTTAGGTTCAAAGTGTTATTCGAATGTCGACAGAAACTATTATGACCAAAAGATACTTATGCGTATAAACAATACTTTCTCTGCTGGTTTGCCTATTGTTCATTCGAATGCAGAATTTTCAACCTTAGTGAACTCAAACACTTTGGCAAGTATAACGTTGACATTAGTTGACGCAAACTTTGTTCCTGTAAAACTTTTATGTCCTATGTATTTGTCAATGACGGCAGAAAGTTTCGAATTGGAAGATGCAACTGGTGAAAGTATTGTATTACAAGAACAACTTCAACAACAAATAGCTCAAGAACAACAAATGCAACAAATGGAACAACAAAGTCAAGAATAAAAAAATAATATTTTTTTTATTTTTATAAAAATGTACAGAATAGATGTTTCAGATTTTTATGACTTCCAAGCATTCAGAAATATGTGTCCATTTCGAGACTATAACAAAGCAGTCGAGAATTTGAAACGTTTAGTCATTTATGTCGACTCTGCCCCAGAATGTTATGTTATGAAAGAATGGGATGTAGTCTTTAACAAACCAAGAGCAACAATAGTTTCAGAACAAGAATGTAGACAGAAACTTAAGAAAATAAAAGTTGTACAAGTTGGAATGAAGATGTTAGATGCTTGGGATATCTTATTGTCAAAGTTAGAAGATTTTTCAGTTCGAGGTATAAAGTTCTATACACCTTCTCCAAACTTCTATTCTATCTTCACTGGATATAAATACGAACAAGTAGAATGGAAAGAAAATATTATAGAAGCTTGGTTAGACCATGTCAAAGAAATTATATGCAATGGAAACGAAAGAGTCTATGAGTATATCTTATGTTGGTTTGCAAACATCTTACAACATCCAAGTGCTAAAAAGAAACTGCTCTCATTATAATTGGAAAAAAGGAACTGGTAAGAACACATTCTTTACAGATATTTTGTGCAAACTGTTAGAAGGTTATTCGAACCCGAATATGACAAACTTAGAAAACATCTGTGGCAAGTTTAACTCCTCAATAGAGAATATGAAACTTATAGTTTGCAATGAACTTCAAAGTATAGATACAACAAAAGTTTTAAACTCAGATGCTTTGAAGAGTCTTATAACAGATAAAGTTGGAGTTGTTGAAAGAAAATATAAAGACCAAAGAGTTTGTGAAAATGTTGCAAACTTCATTATGGTTTCAAACAATGCTGTTCCGATGAAGTTAGAAAGTTCTGACAGAAGATATGTAGTTGTCAGAACGTCAGATTCTCATATGCAAGATACAGAATATTTTGACGACTTAGCAGAAACTTTGACATCTGACTTTTACAACCACTTGTTCTCATATTTCATGACATTAGATATTTCTAAGTTCAATCCAAGACAAATTCCACATACCGAAGAGAGACAAACATTGTTAGAAGCAAACAAGAGTGTATATGAACTGTTCGTAGATGAAACTGACTTTGTGTCATTAGATGAAAGGTCATTGTACGATTCGTATAAACAATATTGTCAAGAATATGGTTATATGACAGCGTCTAAACGAACATTCTTGGCAAATGTCAAAAGTCTTTTAGACGTACAGAATGGTGTATATACAAAGAAAAATTTTTCTGAGTAAATTTAAAAAAAAAATATATTTTTTTATCCGATAGAAAAGATGACAGAAAAATTAACTTTTTACATAGCGCCAGACCCTTCTTGCCCACATCTTTTTAAGCCACAATATATAGACATAGAACTAAATAGAGAAAGCGAAATTCCACAAACAGAAGAAAGCGAAATTCCACAAACAGAAGAAACATATAGAGACCTAGATAACGAAAATGGATATGCGCTATTCTGGTTAGATTGTCCTTATGAAATGTATGAAAAAAAGGCTTTATATGAAGAATATAGAAAATATTGTCATGAAAACGATATAAGACCAAGCTCTAGAGAAAAATTCTATGCTGGTATAAAACATCTTTTCGAAGTTCGGAATGGCAAATATAGAAAGAAATAATTTTTCTGAGTAAATTTTAAAAAAAATATTTTTTTATCCGATAGAAAAGATGACAAAATTCATCTCAGTAAACAAGTACATATCAGGACTTAAAGAAGAACTAGACCCATTCACATATTTGAATGTTTACTTCTACCATTTTGAAAAGTCTTCATTCAGCAAAGTTTGTAACATCGAACCAGTTAAGTTTGCTATTGTGACTAAAAATGGTGCGAAATTTGAAGACTTAGACATAGAAGGTTTGTTAACAGTCAAAGAAAGTTTTGACAGAAGGTTCTCAAACCTTAAAGAAGGCAAAGCATACAAACTTGTTATACCTTATGAACCAAAGAAAGCAGACGACTATGAATATTATGAGTCTAAGATAGTTGAAGTTCAAGGTAAATTGGGTAAAAAGATTTTAGAGTCTAAGCCAGTGTTTGCTCCTAAAGAGGAAGAGAACATTGACATTGACCCAGAAATGTTCTAAAAATAAAATTTTATTTTTACATGTCAAATTTCTTTTTCTCTGGAACTGGTTCAGGTTCTTTCTTCTCTTCTTCTACTTTCTTTTCTTTCTTTTCTTTCTTCTTCTTTTCTGGTGGAGTTATGTCAAATTTCTCCGAACCATATTTATGTAAAAGTTCTTTGTCCTTTAATAGCTCTTCTATTCTGTTTTCTATTTCATCTTCAAGAACAGCGCATGTGTCTTCTTTGCATTCTAAGAACTTTTGTTGGACTTCATCTTTCCAATCGGTGTCATCTCTGTCAACAAGTCTGTCATTGACAAATTTTAAGACTGCTCTGCTTAATGTTTTATGGTTCTTGTCATATTCCCAGAAACAGAACTTAGAACAAATTCACCTTTCTTGTTTACACTATGTAAGATTTTATGGTCGACAGATGTTTTGCTGTCAAAAAGTTTGTCTCGAATATAGATAGCGAAATCGCTAGACATTTTCTAAAAGATAAAAATTTTAATTTTTCTAAAAATATGTTAGAAAAAAAGTTTGCTGACATTGACAAGAAATTTGAGAATGTTTTAAATAAGAACAGAGGAAGTTAGAAAATGCTCAGATAAAGCCTATACATGACAAGTTCTTATTTGCTCAGAATGGTATAACAGGTCTAATTGCACCACCTGGGTCTGGTAAGACTTTCACTTATCTTAAAATGGCTGCACAACAACAAGAACTAGATGAGAAGAACCCATTCTATGAGTTAGTTGTTATTTGTAGTACTTCTGGTCAATTTGACCAAACCGTCAATTCGTTCAAAGATATTATAAAGAAGTCTAAGTTAGTATGTATAAAAGACTCTGAGTTGTTAGATTGGATAAAGAAGTACCAAAGAAGAGTTTTGAAGTATAATGCTATAAATGAGTATATAAATTCTAAGTTTAAAGACCCAAATGAGGAAATGCAGAGAATATTAGAGAAGAAACACTTCAGAAACAAACAGAAAGAGATAGAATACATTTCGAAGAAATTGCAATCTTACGATTGGAAGACATACCCTCATAGGTGTCTTCTTATCTTAGATGATTTCGCCTCTCATCCTTTGTTAAAGAATAGAGAACAAGATATGTGTCGAATTCTTAAGAAGCTCAGACACTTTAACATTTCAGTCGTAATATGTGTACAGACAGCAAAGAGTTTAAGTAAGGATGTTAAAAGAATACTTACTGACATTATACTTTTCCCCGGATTGTCCGAAGACGATTTCATGGAACTTATGAAAGAGTCCATGGCAGGTAAGTTTGACAGACATGAACTATGGGAGAAGTACAAAGTCATACAAGACCCTCATACTTCTTTCAGAATTCATATCTACGCAAACAAAGTTCAAATTGTAAAAAGTCAAGCTTGAAAAATAAAGAGTTCATCTACCCTACTTGTTTGAAGTTGTCAAAATACTCTGTTATTTTTTCCTTCAGTAGCGGTAAGTCTTCTTTGAAGGTAAGTATTGTACAACCTTTCATATCATAGTGTGTTTGAGGTAACGTATCTTGAACTATTTGTTTCACATCTTCATTCGGTGTCATTGAAATCGGTAAGTTTTCGCGATAGAACCAATTTCTGTCAGATTTGTAAATCTTAGCAAGGTCGTAAAAGCTTTTGTTGTTTCTTCTGACTAAATGCAACATAACCATATCTTTATCTTCTTCATTTTCCATCTCTTCAGTATAAATCATATACTTATAGTTCTTTTCCTTTCCTTTTGGTACCGAACGTGGTATTCTTTTCTGAATGCTTTTGTCTTTTGCTTCAATGACTTCATCTTTTGCTTGAAGTTTCTTTTCCATCTCTTCACGTTCTTGTCTATGAATTTCGTCAAGAAGTCTGTAAACATGCCATGCATAACGAGGAGAAGCCCACATTGCAACTGCATTTACTAAAAGTCTATGTACATAATATCCTCTTAAATTTATTGGCAAATTTTTACGATTTTCATGTGTTTTATGCAAGACCGAAAAAAGTCGGTCTAGAGAAATTTCACTCAAAAGTTCTTGTGTGCTTTGGTTTTTGAACCAGTCGTCTGCGTGTTTAGTGTCTGGAGCAAAACATGCTGTCAAAATACTTTGCATTTGGTACATATCGTCTTTGACCGAACGAATGAGACGGAGTTGTTTGTTAAACTGTATGTACTCATATTCTTCATTTATGGCTTCATGAACGATAGCAGTTGTTGTGTTCTCTGATGTTGACATATCTGTCCTTACATACAAAATAAAAAAATAAATAAAAATAAAACTAACTTTATTTTTTCTATCTTAAGGAAATTCATGATTTTCATAGAGTTTTGGCGACCCAGATAAAAGTCGGTCTCGCTGTGCTTCACTGTTTTCATAGAGTTTTGGCGACTAAGGTTTCTTACCTACTCGCTGTTCTTCACTGTTTTCATACGGAATTCAGCAAAAATATATTTTATGTTAGCATGTTAGATCTAACACGTTTTCTAACACGTTTTCTCACAAGCGTTTTACATGGTAAACGTTATGAATTCGTGAGACTCTAAACAGTTTTGTAGCCTCTATTTCTTCTTTTAGTACATCGAATGTTTTAACAATGCCGAAAGTTTCTTTATATTTCTTCTTGACGTCAGATAGAAGGAAATCTTCTGCTGTTGGATAGTTTTTGTCAAGACTTCATTGTAAATGACCAAAAATATATTTTATGTTAGCATGTTAGATCTAACACGTTTTCTAACACGTTTTCTCACAAGCGTTTTACATGGTAAACGTTATTTTTACATTATGACACGAAGTGAACGTTGACACTTCGTCAAAAAAATCCCTGAAATCATATCTTTTATACAAAAAAATGAAAAAAATGACACTTTTTCATTAGATAACTGTTATTTTTTGACGAAGTGAAGAGTAACACTTCGTCAAAAAAATCCCTGAAATCATATCTTACATACAAAAAAATACAAAAAATGACACTAACTTTATTTTCTGACTTTCACAAAAGACCAAAAATAAACGCTTTACATGTATTTTTCAGCAACTTCGTCAAATAATTTTATAGCTTTATCTATCTCATCTACTTCAAACGTTTCTTTACCTTTTATGGGAGCACCATACATTTTCTCAAACTTTTCGAGTAGTTCTGTTTCAGCAGCTCTCATATCATTAGCAAACACAACCTTGACTATATTGACTGTACTGTCATATCTTTGAGTTATATTATATGTTCTTCCTATCTTATATCTCTTTGTATTGAAGTCCTTCGGTTTCTGAACGATGTAAAGTAAGCCTTCACTGCAACGTTCCGTATCGAATGAACCATATGTTATGAAGTTATATCCAACAACTGGGTCTAACCATAACAAAACTATTGGTATAAGACTTTTGTCTATAAGATATGCTCTTGTTCCATGAAATGCTACCGATATCATAAGCTCAGGATTTCTTGTCAAAATTTTCTGACTAGAAGCAATTTTAACCCAGTCCTTCGGTCTCTTTCCAGATGGAGATAAAATGTCTGACAAAGAATATTTGTTGTATTTCTTTGAGTATCTTACGTTTAAATCACCAATTCTAACCACTTTGGTGTCATTGTCTATCTTTTTAACTGTTTCAAACTCATTGTTTGACATATATGTCTTTACATACAAAATAAAAAAATAAATAAAAATAAAACTAATTTTATTTTTTCTATCTTAAGGAAATTCATGAAAATTCAAGAGGTGAAAAAAGAGGTGAGATCTCACCATCTACCCTAAATTATATTTTTGGGTCCTTTACGCTCATTACGATGAAGAAGTCTTGACAAAACATTTACGAAGAAGTCTTGACAAAACATTTACGATGAAATCATGACAAAACATTTACGAAGAAGTCATGAAAATTCAAGAGGTGAAAAAACAGGTGAGATCTAACATGTTAACATAAATTATATTTTTTGGTCCGGGAACAACTTTCTCTCAATAGGGGCTGTAGCGTACTCTTTGCGTAAGCGGTTCAGACCTTCTTCGAACTCTTGGTCTCTCTTCGATTTGGATTGAGATTGGAATTGCTGGAACATCCAAGGGTTGGGGCAGTAAGGCATAGGCAGAGGAGGGTAGTTCGGGAAGCCTTGTGGTGGGTAGTAACCTTGAGGTGGAAATTGGTAGTAATTTGGTGGAGGTACTTGCTGGAACTGAGGTGCAGGGGCTGGTTCTTTAGGTTCCTCTGGTTTGGGAATGGACTGGGTTGGTGGGACGTGAGACATTCGTTTGTGTCCTGTTGGAAGGAAAAACTTTTCCTGTTGGAAGGAAAAACTTTTCCTGTTGGAAGGAAAAACTTTTCCTGTCGGAAGGAAAAACTTTTCCTGTTGGAAGGAAAAACTTTTCCTGTTGGAAGGAAAAACTTTTCCAGTTGTCGGGAAAATTTTTTCCAGTTGTCGGGAAAATTTTTTCCTGTCGGAAGGAAAAACTTTTTCTGAAGTTCGACCAAAAAGTTCTCAATTTTCGAAAATTTGAATGGTTTACGGACGGACAACTGGAAAATTTTTTCTTGTCGGAAGGAAAAATTTTTTCTTTTGTCCGGAAAATTTTTTCCAGTTGTCGGGAAAATTTTTTCCAGTTGTCGGGAAAAACTTTTCCTGTCGGAAGGAAGGACTCGGAATGCCAGAAGGATTTGACGAGGCAGTTTACCTAATTGAAATTAACAACTGCGTAAAAGACTACTTGCGCAAGGTCATGAAGCCCAAGGTCAAGTTCACCACTATTTCTGGAAGGGCTGTCTTGAATCTCGAGACTTCGACTGGAATTCCAATTCAAATACCAGAAAACACTCCTTTCGACGACATAAAGGACGCCAAAAGAGAAGCTCTTGTTAAGTTCCTAAACAAACGTCCTTGGATAAAAATACCAAACAAGGAGAACCCCCTACCCCATATGAAATTGGCAATTCAGTCTCTCCTTCACTTCTCGGGTCAGCCATTCTACATAACCTGTGAAGGCGACATCCAACCAGTTCAGTAAACCTTAACGTTTAACTTCACTTTTTTATGTTTTTTGTGAAAGTTTTAAAATTCATGATTTTCGAGAGTTTTAGACCATGTTAGAAAAAATGTTAGAAAACATGTTAGATCTAACATGCTACCCTAAAAGTATTTTTCAATACTTTTTCAGCACTTTTCCGTAGTTATATATGAAAGACAATTCGAGATAAAAGTCATAGTACAATGGAATAATATGTTGCACACCATTTGTTGTGAACCAAACTTGAAAGTCAGAGAAACTGTTACTAGGTGGTTCGTAGAATTTAGAAGCAAAGTCATAAAAGTCCTTACCAATACATAGAAAACTATTGTTGCTTGAACTGAAACTTGCATGACACATAACATTTTGAGGGTCAAACACGTTTCTATAAACTGTCAAATCTGCTGGTGGAAGTATAAATTGAAATGGACCATCTGGTGGTAATGGTTCGTTCTGGTTTAGTAACCGAAGAAATTGTGCCCAAGAACGTTTGTCTACTTTCCAAAATAAAAACTCTGTATCTCTTGGAGGTTAATTTCAATCTTTTGAAATGAAACGGTGGAGTTCATCTTGTCATATTCTAGTTTCAGATAGTATGTTCCATTTAGTAAAGAGTCGTATTTTTCTTGAAATTCCCAATAATATTTGTTCATTTGAGTTTGAAAGTCATTTAGAGTTTTCTCAAGACTTTCGTCTGAACGAACTGTAAAGATTCTCATTTCGTCAAATTTGTCTATTAGACCATCAGAACCTTTATACTGCCCATGAAAATATACTGCGAAACATAAATGCGTTAGTTCTATTTGAAAACAAAAACTCTTCTAAATCCTATTGCCTTTGCATCTGAAGGACTTTGAAGCCAACGAATTGGATAGTCAAACCTGTATGTTCGGGATGAAATTTCTTCATCTGAAATAGTCCTACCAGCATTTGTAAAGATATAGTCTAACGGTTTTGTATCTGCTACTTTTGTTCTTTGTTTTTCAACCTGAAGCATTTAATATATGTAAAAATATATTGTTTTAAAATGGTATGCCATTTCATATTTCTCATCTAACAAACAAGTTTCCCAACGGTCTTCTCCAACAAACTCAGCGTACATTTCAAATAAAATTAAAAAATGTCACTTTTTAAAAAATAAATTTTTACTTCATGCAATGTTTTATTTCTGTGCCGTCTTCAAGTATGCCCCAGTACTTACGCTTGGAGAGGACATGAACTTCGGTGAAAATTTTGTCCAATTTGAATCGACCCATCTTTTCACCGACCATACCCATTTCAATGAGTTTGTTGTACCCTTCTTCGTTCGTCATGAGTGCGTCAATGTTCTCATAGTAAACCTTGACTTTGGATTTTACTTCGGAGAAGAATTTGTTGTACTCGTCAAGGACTGCTTTTGCGAACTGAGGGTAAGACCAATGTTCGACAATAGGTTTTAATGTGGTTACTAAGCCACTTTGACCTTGAGTGAATTCGTACTTCAAAACAAAAGGAGAAAACCTTTCAACAAAGTTGTCGACCTTCTCATAATGTTTACTCTTCATCTCTTGAGGTTTCTTAATGGAATATCCCCATGTCGAATTCATAAGCAATTTGAGTGTCATTGCAAGTTTGGGGTTTGAAGCTTTCCTAATATCATACAGTTGTTGTATGACTTTTCCAACTGTATAGTTCCTTCCCGGGAACTCACCATCTTCGTTTGGAATTCCAGTCGGAATATATTGGACAAACCTCATGTACGCAGCGTTAAGGTCGACATAGTATATCTTTTCATCTGAGTCGAACTTGTCGCAACCAATTGGTCCAGTTTGTGGAAATTCAAGTGAGTCTCTTATCTTCTGAGAAACTTCTCCTGTTATCTCATAAACATCCTCGAAGCAACCTGTTTCATATAAAACCTTCTGACCTAACTCAGATGCTCTCCAATACAATTTGACGTCAATTGGATGTCTCAATGGAAGTTTGTTTATAGCATCTTGAAGTTCTTGCAACCTCATTGGAAGTTCTTCTGGTTCAGGTTGGTATCCGAACAATCCAACTCCTTTTGGAATTGTGTACTTCTTTTGTACTAGAACTTTGTCTGGAACAACTTTTGGTCTTGCTAACAGTGAAAAGTTTGTTTCGTCTTTTGGTACAAAAGTTTCTGTCAGCTTGTCATCTGGAATTGGTTCCAACAAACCTTTCTCGAAAAGAATGTTTACAGCTCTGACAATGTTGCACTTGCCTTTTCCGAACAATGGGTTTGTAAGACTTTCGTTCAACATGAAGTGGTTGTGGACAATTACAATCTTCAACCATGGTAAATTGAACTCAACAACATAGTCGTCATGTGAAGAACCTTTAGCTGTAGGTATGTTGACTCGGATATTGACATTTGCCAACGGTGCAATTTTTGCCAATTGACCTCTGAGAATGTACCTTGTCTTCACACATGACTCAAGATACTTCATCTTCTCATCTGTAACAAGACCAGAGTTCCTGAGACATGTAAGAATGCAAGGTTCGTTGACAATTGTTTCAATTGAATTGTAAATTCCATACCTTGTCAAGTCAATGTCAGACTTATTTATGAACGGAAAGTATCCAGCATGTTGTCTGACTGCTTGAGGGTTAGGTTGGTACCATTCGAACTTGACACTTGCAATTCCTTCAATTGCATTCAAAATGTCTGAGTCGGAGTCAACCATTTGTTCTCTCTTTGTAGTCTTGAAAGCGTCAAGAAGTTTTGCGGCTGTTTGTTCATTGCCATGTGCATAGTAAATGTGACCATCCAAATCTGTTATGGTCAATCTGAGATTGTGTCCTTTCTTATTTCCGTCTTGTATGGCAGCAAGTACTCCCATGAAGCCTTCTTTGTTCTTTCCTTCGTCAAAGTTTACTGTAAAGGTTCGACCAGATGTAATTTGACTTCTAACTTCACGGTACTTTTCATATGCATATCTTGTTCTTTCCATGGGAGCATGACCATCCTCTGCACTACCTTTTTTCCTTCTCAAAGGATGCAATTGTTCGTCATGTTTAGTAGAATCTGGCAAAGCCGTCGTGTCCTTCAACTTGAGGTTCACTAACATCGAAAGGCATGTCATCAAGACGTTCTTCTTCTAACCTCTCTAGTCTGTTTGGATAATTGGCACGTGCTGTTTCCAAATCCATTTCGTAGGGAAGACCAGACAATTTGTCATAGACTTTTATGGGTCTTCCCTTCCTATATTTAAACTTCTTCGAAACTCTCCAACCATATCTTTGCAACTCTGCTTTTATTCTAGCAGATTTTCTATCCATTCTATATGGGGGCATTTTTATAAAAATAAAAAATATTTTTTTCTTTACTTTACATAACCGCTGCTGCCATAAGTCTTTGACGCCAACCCATACCAGCTAATGAAGGTTGACTTGGTTTAGTTTCCAAACTAAAACTTTGGTTTTGGTTTATCTTCAGTTTTTGGTTTTTCTTCTTCTATCGGTTTTTTCGTCACTTTTCGGTTCCTCTGACTTTACTTCACTTGCAGGAACAGTTGTGTCGTCAACATCTTCATAAATATATATGCCATTTGTTTTTGTTTTCCTTTCAACTTTTTGTGTTTGTTGTAAAGTTTAGAATATTTCGACTCTAAGTCAATGAGATGTTCTATAATGAACTGTTGGTCAGTGAAGTAAACTTTTCCATCTGTTGTCTCGAAAAGCTCCTTCAGACTTCAATATTTTATTTGTGAGAGTCTGTTTCTTTTTTGAGATACTAGCCGTTCCATTTTTATGAAAAGTGACTTTGTAGTTAGGGTTTGTATTTCCAGACCTGGCACTTTTATTATTGAATTTTTCTCTTCATCTGTAAGTTCTTTGACAGGTTTTGACAATGGTTCTGAACTTTTTGTTGTGGTGTCAAATCTACGTTTCAACTTCTTCGGTCATTTCATCTCAGTAAAAAATTTTAGTTTGGTTTGTTTTCAACTGGTTGTTTAGGTTTTTTTAAGTCGGTTAAAACTTCCTGAGGTATAGGAAGAACTTGACAAACGTGGTGTAACTGCTGGAAGTCGACAAATCCATCTTGAACCCATTTGTCTCAATGCTGTATTGTTCATTTCATCTCAGTAAAAAACTTTACATTCCCCACGTTTGAGGCGGTTGAGGTTGGTTTATTGTTACCCATTGTTGTGCATGGTTATATTCTGTTAAAGAATCTTTCACCTTGGTCCATATAGTGTCCTGCTTGGTTATAGTAGTCATTTGCTTTGTTATAATAGTTTCCTGCTTGTCTTCCTACATTGTCCATCCATCCTTGAACTTTTCCTCTTGTTTCAGGATTTGGAATAAGATTTGTTGCATCTCGTGCTACATCCCAACCTTTCTGTACAGTTTGTATAATAGGTTGTGCTTTCTCTTTAGTATACCTAATGTACTCAAAATCTTCCTTCCAACTCCAAATACACCTCTGGCTATTGTTCCACTGCGGGCAAAAATCTGGATGCAACTCCTGCTAATGCGCCAAATAACCCATTTCTTATGGGTTAAAAAATGACGAATCCAAACAAGGACCCCTATGTTTCTAAAGCGACAAAGAAAGCACTCATGATAAAATCTTTAGTTCAAACAAATGCTTGGTTTATGGATATCTTGGAAAACATTCCGAGAGTTAGAACAGATGGACCTCCATACTGGTTAATATTTGTTGGTCAAAACACAAGATACTGTGAAGCCATACCATTATGGTCCAAAAAATATTTTAGATGTAAAAACTGCTTTGACAATATTCGTTGACAAATACCATCCAACTGACATCTGACTGTGAAAGTTCTTTCAAATCAGATGATGTAAAAAACTATCTGCGTTCAAAAAATGTAAACCAATATTTCATTGTCGACCAAAACCATTCTGCTCTTGGTGTCATTGACGGTTGTATAAAATGTTAAGAGACTTAAACAACCACAAGGTGGTGAAGCAAATGAAATGTCATATGACGACAAATATAGACACTTCTCCATGGCAAAGATGAGACAAGTTTTAAATATTTACAATAGCCGTAAACAAAAAGGTTTGGGAAACCACTCCCCCGAAGAAATGAAAAACAACCCTGACTTGAGAAAGACTATATATTTAATATTTAGTCAAAGAGACAAACAAGAAAGAATGCCGGGCTTCAAACTTCAGAAAGGTGACAAAGTAAAAATAGAAATACCTAAAGCGACCCATATGAAAATACTATTGACTATGACAAAATGGGAACCCGACAGGTACTCACATTCGTGTTCGTAAAAATAGAAGAAAGTATACAAGAGAATATTATGAAGTTTTAGGCAAACATGGCAAATGTACACACTGCAAGCAGAAGATAAAACTACTATTGTCAGACCTCGTTTCAAACTTGTCAAAGTTCAAGGTGTATACTTTCAAAGACAGTTCCTAACAAATATAAGACAACTCCTGACGAATATGCTAAAGAAGTTGAAAATGACGACTAAGCAATTCTATACCATGCGTAAACTGTCATGTAAGGTGGCATGTAGTCTTTACTTTGTCCCGTTGTTTGCGTATATCCTGAAACGCGATGTGTATGGTTTCCTCCTCCTCAGTGTTACTCCAGAAACAATTTATAGCAAACTTAACGTTGTCTTTAACATCATATCCTTTACCTTTTGTCATTGCTGACCAATCCCAATATCTATGCTTATGCCAACCTGCTTGAGATGTACTTAAATCTATGTAGTGACTGTGTGCAGGTAAATTTTCACCTGAAATCGTTTTACTTCCACCTGTTTCCTTTGAAGAGTTTGCACAATACAAAAACCTGTCGACTATTTGAGTCCAAGTTCCAAAACCCAGAACTGTTTCTGGTCTGGTAGAGTTCATTGACGTATAAATAGAGCCTGCAGGATATAATGTTTGAAGTATTTCTGTCTTTAATGTTTGAAGCTCTGTTTTGTCTGCTTTCTTGTCATATAAATCTTGAGCAGTGAATTTAATATTATGTTCATCCTTCATGACATAAACATCTTTACATCTAATGTTTCTCATCGTCGTTATGTTGTCATCCGATGTTAAACCTTGTGGAAAGTTAGGAGGTTTACAATATAATACATCCCCACCAGTTTCTTCAACCGTTCCTTCAATACTTTCTATAGCAACAGTTGTAAAACTTGTATGTGTATGAGTCTTATTTGCTTTCTTCTCTAACTCATCGTTAACATAAGTTTTATCTGCTTTAAGGTCTAAACATCCTGAAACCCATCCTGTATCGGCTTTAGTTTTTAAAATCTTCGATGTCCATTCATGATACCATTCAGCCCTTTCTATAATTTCATTATCTTTTTCATCCACATATTCCTTATCTGCTTTCTTCTCTAACTTACTAGCCACATATTCCTTATCCGCTTTCTTTTCAAGGCTAACGTTTAAGTCTGTTATTTCAGATATAGAATGTATATGAGTCTTTTTAGAATATTCGTTTTCAGCTCTTGTCACTTCACTTGACATTTTATTGTCAACATATGTTTTGTCTGCTAGTTCAGGATGAGTATGTTCTTTTGTTGCATAAGCATTGTTAGCTCTTTCTTCTTCTTTTGCTATTGCATCGTCTACATATTCTTTGTCAGCTTTGTTGTCAACATCTGCTTTCAAAAGAAGTTCATTTATAGGTTTCTCGTTTAAAGTTCCTTTTGTTGGATTTATACAGACAGTATTGTTCTTCTTGTCTTGAAATAGAAACTCATCTGTCATTGGGTTTAATGTCAGTTTTAAGTTTCCTTCTTTCAATGACTCAGATATCTTAGAATAGTTTGAAAAGTTTGTTGTGTTCTTATTTAGAGCTTGCATAATGAGTTGTCGGTTGTGTTGTATTTCTCTTATGGAAGCAATATCTTTCGACATTTTTATTCTAGATAAAATATGCTTTCAATAGAAAAAGAAAATTCAAGAGTTGCTACAACTAAACCATTAGATGAACTTTTTACTAATGTCGGTCAAAAGTTTGAGACAGAGACCGTAAAGCATGAAGGCTATCGTTTTGACTACCCATTAAGATGGTTAAGAGACCCATCTGTCACAAAAGCTATTGGCTTTCGTAGAATGAAGTTCATTTCAGAAGCCATACATGGTTTCCCATTTACGGTCGGTTTTGAAGTTCGATACTATAACAAAGAAAAACGTATGTATGAGAAATTTGAACAGGGAAAACTTTTACAAGTTAGTTTGCTTATAAATTTAGAAACAACTCTTCAAGCTTTTCAAGAAAAATAAACGATATCTATATCGAATATGCAAACCAGTATAACATTGACGAAGGAGAATACCATCTCGATATTATTTATGACAGGAAAAATGCAACTGTTAAAATCAATAGAATAGAAGACCTTGGAGAAAACGTTTATATTTCTACAAAATATAACAACTTGGCATGGTATAGATTTATGAGGATGTTAAATCAGCCTGCAGCATATCCAGTACACCCAGACTTTTATGAAGTCGAAAACCCTAATGGAACATATGAAAATGTTTTCGACCCAGCTGCTATTATTGTTCATGCTTCATTTTCTGGCGCCCAAAACTCTTTCTTATGCTTGGCAAATGACTTTTACGAAAAACCTACAAAGTTATACGAACCACCAAGTGGAAGTATTTCAGACTTTCAAGTATGGTTTACTACAGATGGAAGAAAAAGAATAATTCCATTATACCATGCGTTTTACTTAGAACTTAGTTTCATATACAACTACTATCGAACGGTAAAAATATAATTTTTTAATACGGTTGAGGTGTTGGATTTGGTTGCCAACTAGACTGTGGTGCAGGTTCAGGCTGTTGTATAACAGGAGCTTGTTCTTCTGGTTCAGGGTCTTTTAGGTATAATACCAACAAACTGACCTACTCTTTTACCAATATTTTTGACTCCGTTCCAAATTCCTCTTCCTACGGTTTTTATTCCATTCCATATACCTCTTCCAACTCTTCTGAAGAAGTTTCCAATACTACTGAAGAAACCCATTTTACTATATGTAAAAATCTAATGTCCACCTAGTCTCTTACGTTTCCTGTTGAGTTCCATAGCATTCTTTAACTGGAGCTCATACATTCTGTTTCTCCTCTGGTAGAAAACATATTCTGGGTCAACTCCTGTGTTCGCGTCATCTGCATAAGTTGTTTATATCCCACCTCAGGGTTTGTATAAAACTCTTTCCATCTCATATTTGCATACCATGGTGGCAAACCTAACGCAGCGTCATTTGACATGGCAGTTTGCATTTGTACATCTGTTGGCACTTGACCATAGTTTGCCATTGCAGTTTGTATTCTAACTTCATTTGGAATATTCTCTGGGTTTGGTTGTCCAGGTTGCTGTGCATTCGCTAAGTTCTGTGCGTCCATTTAATATTAGATAAAAATATCTCTTACGAGTACATATACTGAACATTTGCAGGCATTGGTTCATCTTCATATTCTCTGTACTTTTCTGCCACGTCAAATAAATAAATGACACAATGGAAAAAACCTAAAACAAGTAGTCCGATTTCAAACCACATTTACTTACTAATAAAATTTCTTTGTTATGACACTTTCTCCGGTTTATAGGACCTCTCTCATATTCTATCTTGTCATATCTAAACTCATAGTCATGTATGACCTCTAACCATCTCATAACGGTTTCCAAACCACTTTTATCGGATGTAAAGTAAAAGCATGGATGGTTATGTAAAACGTCTAAAGTTTCTAAAGAGTCTCTCAAAGTCCAGTCTACTTGGTATTGAAAATCCCATGTGTTATAGAACGGCGGGTCCACTATAAAGAAAACATTTTCCTTGTCTTTATATTTTTCATACAACTCTGTCCAATGACATCTCACAAACTCTATACCCTCAATATATTTTTCTATGTCCTCTTTGAAAACATTTGTATAGTTAAGATATAAAACTTTTGACATAAGTGTTTCAATGTCATGAACTCTTATAGAACCACTATATAATAGTCTAGCAGATATACTATCCCAGTCTATATATTCTGCTTTTTTCAAAACCTCTCTCACAATATTTTTGTTATCTAATGGTATACGTTCCATCTTACCTATAGGTATCTTTTCTTTTAACTCTTTCAATATATTGTTTGTATCTGGTATATGTTTGAGACGGTCCATATAGTTGTCGAAGTCATTGCATATAATCTTTGAGTCTGGGAATATTGTATGACATAAATGGGATATATAGAAACTTCCACCGAACAAATCTACAAATGTTAGACCATTCGGTAGTTTCTTAAGTTCTCTCAATATAATATCTTTACATTTACTCTTATTTCCAAAGAACGGTAACGGTGGTTTTGTAAAATTCATTTATATATAATAATAAAAATGTTTTTACCAGAAAAGCGACAGAAAAGTGACAAAACATGAAAACATATATAATTTGTGAAAAGTGAAACATTATATAATGTTTTCGACCCAGAAGAAGGCTTCTCAAAGTATACTTCCTTGGAACGCCCGTAACTTTTCCTGTAGCGACGTTAGACCCTTACTTGTCCGGACAAAGCTATACTATTTTGAGTGCTCTACAAAAAAGTCATCGGCTGGCTCGTCCTCAGAAATTTTTTATGGGCTAGAGGGCACGAAGTGCCTGGAGGCCCATCCCAAGAAAAAAAAAAAACTTCATTATACTAAACATCTTCAGGGCTAGAGGGCACGAAGTGCCTGGAGGCCCCACTACCTTTTTTTTTTTTTTGGTTGAAATATTTTTATATTTTATCAAAATTTCGAATATAAAATTAGATAAAAAATCATATACAAAAATGGGGTAGTAAGGTGTATTTTAAGTGACAATTCAAGTCAGTACAAAGCAAGTATAGGCATATTGACTTTCTGTTTAGCGAGATCTACTCTCCTCTGAAGGGATCATGTGATTATTAAATTATCTGTAATTCGTCAGAGAATCTAGTTTATTTTTATGCATTACAAAGAATTGTACTTACATGTCCGAAATCATGCATCCAAATCTCCAGAGAATAAGAAGAAAACTGAAAAAACAACAAAGATTTTCGACGACTTTTTTGCGACAACAAAAATTTTAAGATGACCGTGGAGCTTGTTCATAATTATGAGAAGATAGCAACCTTTGCCACAGGCTACTTTTATGACGACAGGATGTTTTACATATTCGAAGTAGAAGACGTAAAACAAATATTAAAATACATGACTCTAAGCACAGCTGATTTTGTTTCACTTCTAAAGCAATCCGAAAATATAGTTAGTGCGAACCAACTATTAAAATGCACCAAAGGCGCTAGCGTTCGAGTTACAAATTTTAATGAAATGGTTTCAGTATTAACAACAGCTAGACAGTTCATGAAATTAAATTTTCTCGATGAAATACTTACCGTGTTAAATCTACTTGACAAAAACGACCTTAGTACTGCATTAGAATTACAAAATCGCCAAGTCGCGGACGAAAACGAGATCAAAGCTCTTAAAGCCAAAATAGAAGAGTTGAAAGACGTAGATCCAGAAGTAGTAAACGAAAACACCAAACTAAAGAAAGAATTACAAGATAAAGACGCAAAAATCGCAAAACTCACGAAAGAACAACAAGAAGACAAACAAAAGGTTTCTCAGCTTACAGACCAGATCACTAAATTACAAACAGAAAACACAAAACTTACAGAAGAAAACACAAAATTACAAGCAAAAGTACAAGAACAAGAAACAAACATTCATCAACTTTATACAATGAATTATCAATATGATGTCTTGTTAAAAATCACTCAACACAAGTATTCTAATGATTTCAACAGTGTTTACACATTCCTTGATGCTTTAGCTGGTTGTGGCGATCCAAACATGATGAAGAAAGCATTTGAAGAAGGAGTTTGCGAAAAGAAAGATGCAAGTGATAAAAGTATTCTTCATGAAGCATGTTTTAGAGGAAATCTAAGATTAGTACAAGCATTAATTGCTTCTGGCTGTAACAAAGAAATGGTAAACAACAAAGGCTGCACGCCACTCATTTATGCTTCTGCTGGCTGTAAAATTGAAGTTGCTCAATATCTTTTATCAATAAAAGCAAATGTTGAAGCAAGAGACGTAAATGGATGGACACCATTGATTTTCGCTGCTCAAACACGTAATATTGATTTAGTTAAATTACTTATTTCTAATGGAGCAAATATTGATTCTAAAGACAACATTGGTTATACATCATTGATTCACGCATCAAACAAAGGTCACCTTGAAATTGTTCAGTGGCTTGTCACTCTTGGTGCAAATAAAGATGCAGCTGATAATGATGGAAACACACCATTGATACATGCAGCGTCAGCTGGACATCTCGAAATTGTTAAATATCTTGTACAAGCAGGAGCAAACAAAGAATTGCAAAGCAAGAATGGAAATACTCCACTCATTGCAGCTACTTATGGAGGCTTCATTGAAGTGATTAAATATCTCATTTCATGCGGAGCCAACAAAGAAGCAACTGACATTAATGGATGGACACCATTGATTGTTGCTTCCTCTGAAGGAAAGCTTGAAATCGTCCAGTATCTTATCTCACTCGGAGTCAATGTAGAAGCAAAGACTTCGAATGGAAATAATTCACTCATCCACGCAGCAAATTATGGACATCTAGAAGTTGTTAAATGTCTTATCGCAGCTGGTGCTAATAAAGATTATAGCAATAACGGATTTACTCCACTCTCAGTTTCATCTGGTGAAGTTAGAAATTACTTAATTTTCATTGGAGCTATGTCAACAGTACCAAGACCAGAAACGAGAACAGATACAAGGACAGATACAAGGACAGATACAAGGACAGAAACAAGGACAGACTCAAGGACAGACTCAAGAGATGAGACAGAAACAAAACCAAAGTCAAAATCAGAAAAAAAGTCAAAATCAAAACATAGAAAAGACTCTGATTCAGACTCAGATCAAAAAACTAAAAAGTCCCACCACAAAAGCCGTCATCATAGTAACAGACCATAATCTAATAATCATTTATCAATCTTATTTTAACTTTTTAATGAATAAAAAATTTGTTTTTAACAGTAATTAAATATTTTTTTAATCATCGCTACAGATGAAGAAACAATTATACATGCTCTACTTAAACATGAAAATTATATTACTGATTATAGATATGAAACATCCCAAGGCTTGCAATGAAGAAAGTATAATGTAGTTCAAAAGTTGAAACTTTCTAATTGAGTGACGAAAAAAAAAACTTTAGTGACATGTAAACATAAAAGAGCCAGAATTAAACAACAAAGATTGAAACTTGTAGAGTATATAACTGAAAAATTACATACTCTTCATAAAAATAACGAATGTGAAATCAATAAAAATTGAACTTTGCTTTTGTTTTAAAAAAAATATAGATAAAATAAAAAAATAAATCATAGGTATTGAGCAAGCTTTGATTTGAGATTATCAAAGCCCTTATCCATCTCATCCTGGAGAGCTAAGTTATCTTTGTTTCCTTGTGAGAATTTCCTGTGAATCTCGAGAGCCTTCTTATTGACGTCGATGAACTGTCTGAAGAGTTTTCTCATGTGTTCAGTCAAAAGTGTCCTCTTCTTCTCAGTAAGGAATACTTCAGCCATCTTAATTGGTCCGTCATTGACTTGTACGCAAAGAGAACCATTAAGAAGTGGCTGGATCTGTGAGATGTTGTTTGCCTCGATTGCTGCATCGTACTGCTTCAATCTGTCCTCGAGATGGTGGATGGAAACTTTGATTGGTTCGATTTCGATGTTTTCGACATCTTCTGGATTAACAACGATTCTCTTCTTCGTTGAAGGCATTTCCGTGTTGATCTTCAAGACTGTCTTTCTCAACCACTGGCTGGAGACAGATCCCTGGAGTTTGTTACTTCCTTTCATGAAAGGAGTCGCGAAACAGAAGACTTTGATGTGGGAATTCTGTTCAAAAGTCGTTTGTTTGTAGACTTCTTCTCCTTCGAAATATGTTGGAGTAACAAAAGTGATTTGGATGTATCCTTTCTCAGGATCCAACAAACGTGGATCAACTGGCTTTGACTCCTTGATAATCTCGAGCTTGCCACGGCCAATGATTGGTGTGTAAGTGTCTTCCATTCTCTTAGTCAAATTGAATAAGTTTGTCAGTTTTTGTTCACGATAAATGTAAATTTTTCCGTTATCTTCACCGAACTGGTTTCCGTAGAAGATAACTCTGTAGTATCTTCCCATGAGTCTTTCTCCTTGTGTTGGCATTGTGTCTAGCTGTTCGTAGAACTTCTGGGACCTTGAGAATATCGCGTCAAGTTCTGTGTACATTTGATGTGATTCGAGAAGAGGAACGAACAAACGAATGACTTCATTTGCGATTTCGAAAACTTGGTGGTTTCTGCAGTAATCGCAAATTTCAGTGAGAACCAACATCACTCCACTTTCATTGAAGAAAGAAGAGTCACAGAATGTTGGCAAGTTCTTTGGAAGATCATGTGAATACTCTTGTGGCATCACAAAGACTTCTGCTGTTGGAGTCATTGGAACAAATGCTTTTGCAGCATGTTCGAAACCGAGTTTTTGTGGCATCAAGTTGAAAGCGGTCAAATACTCACTTAACAATGCCAACTCCGAAATCTTGCATGTGATACTTTCAAGCTCGTATCCATTTGCGTAATGGAACTGATCCAATGTACGCAATGCTTCTAAACAAGCATCAGGGGAATACTTGAAAAGAAGACATCTTTCCCATAACAAATCTCCGAAATCTTCAACTAAAGCGTTTGTTGCAATCTTCTGACCGACATGTGTTTGTGTCTCGAATGTTGATGCGAAACAATTGTTGTCGATCTTGTGTAGTTTGTCATCGATTTCGGCAATTCGTTTGATTGTTTCCGCGATCTCTTTTAGCTGTTGATGTTTGACATTTTCGCTTAATAAATTAGCGAAATCAGGAGAGATCAAATTAACTGGCAACAAAGAAACAGCTCTCATGAACAAAGCATGTGTTCTATTGTTGTTTCCGTATGATTTCTCTTCTGATTTGAAGAGACCATCGAATGTAGAAATGATTGATTTCGCAATGAAAACATTGTTACAAGCGGCCAATTGCAACAGTTTCTTGATGAACAAAGCGAAAGGAAGTGTCTTACATTCGATAATCTTCTTGACATCTTTAGTAAGTAACAACTTCAATGATTCAGTCAAACAATCAATAGCATTCAAACAAAGATTCATTGATAACAAATGATACAAAATATCAATTGCGATATCAATTAAATCGATTGAAAGAAGGTCATCAACAACTCTTATTGCTGCAAACTGTGCTTCCAAAGCAACATCCCTTTGTGGATAATTGTATTTGATAGGCATTTGGAGGCTACTTGATCCAACACTTGGAATGTTATTTGCTTTTCTTGCAACAGCAAATGACCTCTTTTTAGCAACAGGAGGTTGTGTTTGTACTGAATGTGTTGATGACTCAGAAACTGATCCGTATCTATCACCACTTCCCGTGTTGTATGCTGCTTGCATTCTTTGTTCGATCTGGCGTTCGATTGAACTAAATGCTTTATTGCGAGCAGTTGAATCGTTTATCAAAACATCTTTGATATATTTCGTCTTGACTAATAAGAAATGAACGAAATCAATGAATGATTTCTTTTCTTTTTCGTCAAGACTGTTGTACCGTGTTTCCAAAGTGTTGACTCTTGAGTTCTTCAACACGAAAATGGCAAAAGACAAAGGAGCAATCAAAGATTCATTGGATCCTTGCATTTTGTTTGTAAACAGTTTCATCAATGGAATAAATGAAGCGGAAACATCGGATTTCATGTCTTCAGGAACAAATGATAATGTTCTGCAGAGAATATTGAAGATCTGGCATATAGGACCATCAGGTAATTTGGTAATAGCAGTTTGCAAAAGTGAAGTGAAAACGATAACCAAATCATTATTTGCGACTGTTTCACCCAAGAACAACAAAGGATGCAAAGTCATTTCCAGGAAGTTTGCAAGCATTCTGTGCTGTGGCGGATCATTTCCTATATGGTTTGCGAAGATAGTGATGCAGGAAGTAGCTGCTGAATACAATTTCAAGTCGATTAAATTGAGAACGAATGTTGAGAAACATCTATTCATCGCTTGTGCTTCAGCAACAACTTTGAAGGTCAATATTCCAACAGCTACAGCCCATGTTTGAGCGAATTTCTCGATGTCCTCGTGGAAATCCCTGTCATTTGAGAAAATGATGGATTTCAAGATGACTTCGAAAAGAAATTCAACTAAAACTAGTTCTTTTCTGTTTGTTCCATAAGAATTTGCTGTTTCAAAAATGTATGTTGCCCATTCTTTCAACAAATACTTATGTGTTTGTGGGTCATGGTGGGAGTTCTGTCTGAAAGCAAATACTCTGTTATAAGTATTCAAGTAGTCAACGAGTATTTGCCTGTTTGGAAGAACATCAACCAATTTGTCGAACTCAAAAATTGACTTCAAAGCCAATTTCGGATCTAATTTGATATTAGTCAAAATAGAATCCATGACAGAATACATGTTATTGGCCAAAACATTGACAGGAATGTCTTGTACCTTAGGAACAGCCAAAGCACCGGAATAAACCGATTTAAGGGTCGGTTGGTTGGTGACTAATGATGAAACTAATTTCGTGGAAATTGTGAAACAGTTGTCTTTCGTTGGCTGCTCTTTAGGATTGATATTCGAACCGTACGAGATGCCGAGGTTCATCTCTCCATCTGGTATTAAGAAGTTGTCGTGGTTTGGAGAGATTTCGAACGAGGAATTGCCAAATGTGAAACAGGCTTCGTCATTTGGTTTGGTGGAGAGCCTCTGGAAGGTGAAGACAACGATGCCTTCAACAGGATATGGAAGCTCGATGATGAATTCATCCTCAAATTGTGGATTTGTCACGTGATATAATCCTCTTGATACGGCATGATCGACAATCTTGGTATTTTCCCAGCGATTGCGGATGCACTTGAGATACTGGCCTTTGTAGAGGTATGAAACATCAACAACAATGTTTCTGGCGGATACTTTCGGAGGGAATGAGAATTTGGCGGCTCTCAAGTTGATTACGAGCTTGTGTGTATGGCTAAGGATTGGCCACATGTCGTATGGCTTCTTGGAATAGCATACAACGGCGTTCTTGATCTGATTTGGATTTGCATACTCAGATCTTTGGATATCGAAGCGAATTTCGTATGCGATCTGGTAGAGCTTGAGAAGCTTGGCACGTTCGATCTGCTGGGCAATGAATTCTCCGGTCATTGCCTTAGATTCGCATTCTGCAAGGTAAAGTTTCGGCATTGTGACGGTACCTCCGTGGATTTCGGATAGAGGGATGAATGTAAAGGCAAATGTCTGCCAGTAACCTTTGAGTTTCTGGTAAACAGGGGCAAATGAGCTAAATGCCTTCTCACGGTTTGCCGTAGTGATTTTACGATAGTATTTATTGATATATGCACCATTGTCGATTTGATATGATCTGTTGCAAACGACAACGAGGTAAGCATTTTGAACATGACGGATATTGAAAAGAGCATTCTTTGTATACTCATTTCCTAAATACATTTTGAAAAGAGGATCGAATGTGTTCCACGTTTCACTGACAATGTTGTTGTCTTCCAAAATGAAAATTGAATACGTAATTGGCTCGAAAATATCAAAATCTATCTTGCATGAGCTGAAGGAAACTGAAAGATATTCTTCCTTAGGAACTGGAGTGATCTTAGGAAGGTCATGTGCAAGTAAATCATAACTTTCTGGTTTTGCCTGTGCAACGGCTGTAGGTGCATCAGATTGAAGATTTTCGATAGGAAGTGTCTCAACAGTGGAGGAATCTAGTTCACTTCTGAAAACTTGCTTTGGCTTATTTTCGTTGACATCTACATGATAAGTAACTTTTTTATAATTAAAATCGGTGGCTTCTTTTGTCATAAGAGTGATTGTTGGATTTCCTGAAAGATCGTTGTGATTTTCTATTATGGCGTCGTAATATGGATTATTTATCGTAACTAAGCCATTGTATTGAGATTTGGCCCATTCTTTTGTTTGAAGTGAAGGAGTCTTCTCAATCCATGAAATGACTTTCTCATCCTTTTCTTTCCAAGAAGGTCCAGGACTTGACATCACTTATGATAATTTTATTTATTCAAAAAAGTGACAAATTTACATTCTGAAATTTGAGATGAAATAAAAAATAAGACCCTAAAAAAGTTTTTTTTTGAACTCGAAATGAGACCAAATGATCAAGTAACCAATATATTGGTTGAATACAATACTTCTGATTTTATATAATTACACCACGATTTTAAGCACATAGTTTATGCTCATAATGAATATCTTGAGTTCCATCGATTCTTGAATATACCAATAGATTGGGTATGAACCACAAACTTCATGCGATATTGATTTGATCAATGATTGTTAGTTCGAATCAAGAAATATACTCATTTGGGTCAAAAATTCATATCTGTCTTAATCTATAACTTACGGATACAAGTTTCATACACTATACTATTTCACTCGTTCCTGTCAGTTATTAGGATAATGTAATCAAGTAATTGCTTAAATCCGAGTCAGCTAGTAAAAACAGTAGATCTAAGTATCGGATATTTTTCCATAGAATTGAAATAGAGCAGAAATCGCAAACGTACATTCACTGATAATCTTGATAACTTAACTTAGATTCAATTTCAAAATCATTAAGACTTTCCACTTTGTTATTGCTTTCAATCTCCTCAATTCTTAAAAATAATATAGAAATGAATGAAAAAAATTGAAAAGATATAACAAATAATCTTTTATTTGTAAATAATAATATACAGTGACTGTGTGCAACTCATGCAATTTTCTATATTTTCTTTATATAATTTTTTTTTTTTTTGAATTCAACTTTTTTTTAAACTTTCGGGGCAAAACTAGCAGATTCTCTCTTCCAATAGATTCCGTTGATATCATTAAGCATTGTCATGTCCGCTGGTCTAGTTTTTGGAACTGGAGTGTAAACTGACTGTTTAAGTTGGAATTTCGGCAATAATATGCTATTTATTTTTTCGAGAACTTCATTAATACAATCGTTGTGGTCGGATATTTGATCTGTAAGCATTTCGACTCTTTCATCAATTGATTTTTCATCAAGATGGTTTTCTTCGAGTTTCATAATATAATATTTCTTTGCTGTTTCGGTCTGTGTAATTAATTCTGGTGCAACACTTGTATTTAAGAAGTTATAAGTCTGTTCGCCTTGGACTGGAGCATCTGGCTTTGTAGGACATACAGTAAAGTATTTGAATAAATGGTCTACTGATGCATCATTTAATAATTTTGCAGCAGAATCTGCATCTGCTACAAGACCAGCAATGTTTTTCCTATCATCTGCAGGATCGGAAATACGGTTGACAATGACTTCAATTTTCTTCGATAAAAATTGAAGTTTGCGAGAAATATCAGTCAATTGAGACATGTATAATTCTAAAAAGTGACAAAAAGAGAAGATCTGGAAATTAAAAAAAATGTTGGGATAATTCGTAGAAATAAAATCAAATAGACATAAAAAGTCTAATTTACCTGAGAATATCGAGTTACAATAATATTGATTTGCAAAGGTGATGTTGTTATTATTATAAAATATTTATAATAGATCATTGATGTAAATCGGTCATAGTGTAATGGTTATCATGTAAGATTGTCGTTCTTTTGATTCGGGTTCGATTCCCGGTGACCGAGTTTTTTTCATTTTTGATTTTCACATCTAATCGTTTTTAGGCTTGTTCTGGGCAATTCTAAAATAAGCTCATCTCATGATGCTATTTTTAATGTCATTTATAATTCGACATTTTTATTCTAAATTTATGTGAAATCAAAAAGTGCCAAATGACAGAGGAACATCCTTTGCAAAATACATGGACATTTTACTACTACGAGCGCCCAGCTAGTGCTGAAGATTATCTTAAAAGCATTCATTCTATCGGATCATTCAACACATGCGAAAAATTCTGGAGTTTTTATTCTCATATGGTCAGACCAGACAAATTGAAGACTGATATGGCTCTTCAAATGTTCAAAGAAGGATATAAGGCCATATGGGAAGATGAAGCTATTAAAAATGGTGGCCAAATAACGATTAGATTACAGAAAAAGCTATTTCCTTTCGTTTGGGAGAAGTTAGTTCTTAATATGATTGGCGAACAGATATCACAGTCAATAATTGGTGTTGTTGCTTCTTCAAAGCAGCGCGGTGATTCAATCGAGTTGTGGATTGACTTCAAATCACAAGATCCAACAGAGAAAGAAGCAGAGAAGCTTGATATGATTAGAACACTGATCGAAAAATTAAATATTGCAGGTAAATTGAGGTTCAAATACACTGATTTCAGCCAATTCAAATCCGAAAATCCAGCTACACAAAAGAAATCCGAATTTTACATGCTCGATAACGGTGTTGTTAAACGTACTGAGTATATTAGCCTCAAGAAACCACAAACAACTCCTGAATCTCAATAATTTTTTTCCGAAATTTGAAGTTTTTTCATATTTTTTGGAAAAAACTTGACATGTAAGATATGTCATGCAATTCTTAATATTTCTTTGTAAATTATACAGTATTATTTATTGTCATTGTTGATATCATTAATAAAATGTAGATTTTCAATAAATCTATGCTTATATATTATAATAAATATACTAGTTTTTTTCATAGAAAGATATACATAACACTTTATTTTAATAGAAAGATTGCAAATACATTTGGTTTTGAATATTTTCGTTTTGATACATACCAGGTTCATACATTGGTCGTCCATATCCACCTTGGTTCATGTATTGGTCTTCATAAACAGGTGGATATTGGTCATATCCTTGTGGATTATAGTAAGCTTGGCCGCCAAACGATTCTTCTGGGTATTCCTTATTGAATATGCCATCAACAAGCTGTGTCGTTGTGAAATCATCGTTTTGTACATATCTGTTATTGTTGTTTGTTTCAGGAGATTCAAAAAGTGACGAAAGGAACTTCCCGTCATCTTTTGACACCGAGACATTTTGGAAAGAGTTTGAATCAGAAGCGGATATGATATTTAATGTAGCAATAGTTGTGCCTATTACTGTCCATGTTGATAATATTTCTATTGATTTGCAAATTTGATACGGAATACTAATATAAAACTGAATATCCTTCCCTAAAAATAGTAATGAAATTACTAAAAATAGAGAACGAAGCCACATCGCGTAACTTTCTTCAATTCTCTTCTGTTGACACTGCATTACTTTGTATAATGCTCGGATATAATATGTATAAACGAGGAATGCTACAAAAAATAGCATTAAGAATATGTATTTGAAATCGCTGCTTCGAAACATTTCGCATAAACAGCAGAAAATGGATAAGCAAATGGATAATCTTAAGGTTGTATTTTCTTTGAAGATAACTGGTAAAGGAACAAGAGGCCCAGCATCTTCTAGTATCTGAAATGAAAAGTAGCAGAAGAAACCAGGAAAGAATGAAGTTAATATCGGAGGAATAAAATTAATTGAAGAAATATTCAGCATATCATAAGGGAAAATATAACCAATGCATGAGATAAAGAATGTGATATTCAGTAAATTATTTGTATTATAACTTTTCCGTAGATATATTCTAAAAACGCTAAAACCTACTATCAATAATGCAATACATGCAAAAGCAAGATGTATATACGAAAAATAGTATGTCGATAATGAAATACCACGAATTTGAATGAGAAATCCCGTGACTTCTTCTGGAATATTTTGAATTTTGAAGTAAATATCGTCTTTCAGTTTGGATAAGAGATAACTTTTCTTTAGAACAACTGTTGAGAATGCATTTGGACGGAGAAGAGTAACTTGTCTTGTAACGTTATTAATTTTATTGGAAATAGTATCATTATAAAATATCTTTACGTTGAAAGGTTTTGCTGGAGGAGATTGACATGTAAAATATAATGTCACATCGAAAAATTGAAATGTTTTTGGAATTTCATTTAACTTTATATCGAAAATATATGCACCATACACTGGTGGTGGTATTACATTACTGATTTCAAACGATTGCTGCATTAATTTATCTGTGTATTGCGATATAATTAAGATTAATACTAATGAAGACAAAGGAACTAAAGCTTTTGCGATGTAGTTATGTGGGCTTTGAGAAGAAGATGAAGACTTTGGTCTAACGAGAGATTGCTTCTCTTCAACTTTCTCACCCACACTTTGGTTCATATTAAATTTTCTTCAAAAAAATAGAAATGAATTTAAAAAGAATTAAAATTTACATAATACAAACCTTTATAAATTCTATAATAGATTAATCTGACTCGCCATCTCCTAATTCATCAAAGAAAGTATCTTTCTTCTTAGCAATGACTGGTAACTTTCCTTGTTTCTTCAGTTTCTTTTTCTTGTGGTCGGAAAGGAATTCTTCGTCTCTTTTTTCAGTAATATCCCAGACTTTTACCTCATTTGTGCTACTCCATGTTAATAAAAGCCCACCAGAGAGATCCATGCCATGAATATCTTTCTTATGAGCTTGCCATGCATAGATAAGATGGTTTGGATGCAAATCTTGGATGTAAACTGTTCCATTTTCTGCAGCAACGACAGCTCTGCATTTATTAGTCTTCAGAACAGAAACACCGACAAATGGACGTGTACTTTTCATCGAAGCTTCGCAAACAAAGTCAAGAGATGGATGTTTGGAGACATAAATCTTTGGTCGAGAAGATGCACATATAAAGTACCTACAAAATGGATCATATGTAACAGATACGAAGTCATCATCTTCCTGTGCATAGTATTGACGTCTTTTAGGTCTATTAATTGTATAAAGAGATAAAACGCCATTACCGCTTGTAACACCAATGGTTTTATCATCAACAACTGCAATATCTGAAATATATTCTTTTTCATCATGGAATTTTTGAGTGCATTTGTCTTCTTCAATATTCCAAATTTTTAGGTGGCCTTCAGAATCACCAGTAGCAATAATTGTATCTGTAATGTACTTTGCAACTTCAATTGGTGAGTTATGAGCTTTAATCTTGGTATATTTGGCAGATTGATCTTCTATGTTATAAACAAAGAAGTTTCCTGCTTTATCAGCAATGAGTAAGTCTTGTCCTGTAATGTTAAATTGGAGTGATCTAACCGAATCTTTGCAAATTGATATTTGTTTTGGAATATCGTCGCCTTTTGTATAAACAAATATTGTAGTACCAACAGTTCCGATAGCCCATTTCTTTGTGGCCTCATGGATTGCGCCGCATGTGATTATATCATTTGTTTTTTTATCAAAAATCAAAGGAACTACCTCTCCCATTTTTGTCCGAATAATTTCGTGAATTTCTTTGTTTCTTATATTCGCTGCAAAATTTTTTTTAATATGGCTCTTAAAAAAGTTGTATAAATCGTACATTTTTGCAAAAAAATGAACAAGAACTCAGCAACCAGACGAAGGAAAGCCAAGATTATCTTATGTTGATGTTGAAAAAGGTGTTCAACAAATTCAAGCGATATTGACAGGGAAACCATCCGATTACTAATTTTCTAATGTTTATTAAACTAAAATATGTGACTCAAACAAATTTTTATGACATACAAAAACATTTTTAATAGAATGCAAAATACCTGATGTTTGAAGCTCACATTTTTTGAAATTCATGATCATGATCAATAGCTACTTAAACTTACTTTATGTTACAATAGTTTTATATCTCCGAATGATTAATAATTTACATGTGTGCATGTACAATCCCATCAAATTTTGAGCGTTAGGTATGAAGAATATGATACATTTCGGAGATATTATTTTCAAAATTATATTGAATTCTGGATTACTCGAGGAGTGAGAAAGATTAAAAAAAAAAGAATAACAATGTTAACCAAAATAATTATCCTATTGGATTATATTACTTGGCTCCAATAGATATTAGAAAATTTCTTACATTATTCTTTGCAACTGAGAGTGCAGTACTCCCACTATTAGCCTTTGCTTCTTTATCTGCTCCAACAGAGATAAGATATTTAACAACTTCAAGATGACCATTAGATGATGCCCGAATGAGTGGAGTATATCCATTATTAGTCTTTGCTTCTTTATCTGCTCCAACAGAGATAAGATATTGAACAACTTCAAGATGACCATTATATGATGCAGAATTGAGTGGAGTATATCCATTATTAGTTTTTGCTTCTTTATCTGCTCCAACAGAGATAAGATATTTAACAACTTCAAGATGACCATTAGATGATGCCCGAATGAGTGGAGTATATCCATATTTATCCTTTGCTTCTTTATCAGAGTCACATTCAATAAGTGATTTGACAAGATTAAGATTTCCTTTTTTACTTGCAACATGAAGTACATTCTCTTGATACTTTTTTGTCTTTTTTAACCAAAGTCCTTCTTCGCAAGCCTTTAAAATCATTTCTCGATTGCCTTCAGATGAAAGTTCTTCAAAGAATTTGTAAACACTATCAAAATTATCAGTTTCCTTAAGTGATGAGATTTTTGTTAAAAATTCTCTAGAAAAGCTGTGAGATTCATTAATTCTAGTGGCTGTAAAAAAAAAAAAAAAAAAAAAAAAAAAAAAAAAAAAAAAAAAAAAAAAGGTAGTGGGGCTTCCAGGCACTTCGTGCCTTCTAGCCCCGAAGATGTTTAGAATATGAGAGAGGTCCTATAAACCGGAGAAAGTGTCATATAAACATCTGTCATTTTACTCAGAATTTTATACAGAATTCGGCAAAAATATATTTTAGGGTAGAAGGGTATATCTAACCTCTTTTCTAACCTCATTTCTAACCTCTTGAATTTTCATGAATTTTCATGAAATTTACACCAAAAATAATGTTTAGGTGAAGAGGTGAGATTTCACCTGTTTTTTCACCTCATTTCTCACCTCTTGAATTTTCATGAAATTTACACCAAAAATATATTTTAGGTGAAGAGGTGAGATTTCACCTGTTTTTTCACCTAATTTTTCACCCTCTTGAATTTTACACCAAAAATATACTACTAGGGTCATTTACGAAGAAGTCTTAACAAAGTCTTTACGAAGAAGTCTTGACAAAACATAGACAAGAAAGTTCATGAGAAATTAGATGAAGAAGTCTTAACAAAGTCTTTACGAAGAAATTCATGAAAATTCAAGAGGTGAGAAATGAGGTGAAAAAAGAGGTGAAATCTCACCTCTTCACCTAAAATATATTTTTGGTCATTTACGAAGAAGTCTTAACAAAGTCTTTACGAAGAAGTCTTGACAAAGTCTTTACGAAGAAGTCTTAACAAAGTCTTTACGAAGAAGTCACAATAAACATCTGTCAAAAACCGCTTTTTAACTTCACTTAAAATGCCACGTAAGCTACGTAAGAATATACGTAAGAGGAAGAGAGCATTGAAACATCCAATAGTAAGACTAACACCACAACAACAGTTGCAACAACAAATGCTGAATGACCCCACTATGTTGCAACAAATGTCAAGCAATCCTATGCTTTTAAACCGAGTTCTTGGTGCACAGAGTGGAGGTTTAAGAGCGGCACTTTTAGCGAAAATGGCAGGCTATGGTGGAGCTGCAGACGGAACAGCCTATAACCCTCAAAGTCAAATGAATTTGAGTTCACTCAAAAATCAAATAACAGATGTCAAAAAGTCAAACATAGACATACAGAAGCAAATAAGTGAAAACGAAAAGAAACTAGAATATGACAGACACACAAAGAAACTCAATGAGTTAAACGTAGAGAAAAAGAAGAAAGAAGAACAACTGAAAGAACTAAGTACAGAGGAATATGCGAAAAAAGTGTCAGAAAAAGCAGCAGAAGTAGCAAAAATGGAACAAGATGTCATAAATTTGAAAAACCATACTACTCAATATAAAGTACTGAAAGATGAAGAAATAAAACAAAAAGCCCTGAAGACATATATGGATAGCGATGAGTATAAAAAAGAAGTTGAAGCAAATGTAAAGGCAGAAAAACTTTTACAGTTGCAAAACCAAACCGTACAGTATGAAAACTTAGCACAAGAAAGTAAAAATAACGACGCAGCCATGCAAAAGGCAATGAAAAGCGCAGAATATATAAAAGCTAACAATGACTGGTTAGATGCCCAAGCCAACGCTAAAGCAGCCCAACTCATAGGGTCAATAAGGACAAAAATACAAGCGGATGAAGACAGTTCAAATGAAGCTTTAACAAATGCTGACTTTAAGAACGCCTTCGAAGCTCTTCATAGTAAGGTGAAACAAGTGAACGACTTCTCATCTGGAAAGAAACTGAAGTCTGAAGGTTTCGACAAAGAGTTAAAAGAAGTAGCACAAAATATGACGAAAATAACAGATGCAGCAACGAGACAGGCAGTTCAAAGTGCCTATGACGCCGTTAGAGCAACTGTTGTGGAAAGTCAAGAAAAAGAGTTACAACAGACCAAAACAGACCTAGTAAATGCTTTCTTAAAAACGAAAAGTCAGGTAGGACATTATGCTGCAGATGGAACATATGTGCCAGCTGGTGGAACTTATATACCACCAAACCCTCCAAGAGAAGCACCTGCACCAGGACTACCTAAAACATTTACATCGTCACATGGACACAGACACAGGCATGCACCAAAACCAACACAACAACCAACAGTTCAAAACCCTGCACAACAACCACCTCCACAACCAGCACAACAACCAACAGTTCAAAACCCTGCACAACAACCAACAGTTCAAAACCCTGCACAACAACCAACAGTTCAAAACCCTGCACAACAACCACCTCCACAACAGAGCAAGGACATAAAAGAAGTAGAGAAACAAGGAAACCAAGAATTCTTAAAAATGCTTAAAGAAGAGTGTTGGTTTCCCAGATACTGTTGACTTTAGTGACAGATATAAAGAAGCTATTGGAAAGTTCAAGGATGGAAATACTGACCCGAACCTATTTAGCTTTATGCTCAGCACCAAAAACGGATATAATCTCAAACCTGGAAAATACAAGCTCGCTAAGGGATATGATTTAATAGCATATCATCCAAATGACATGAACGAATTTACTCCGAGATATTTGATGTCAGAGCTAAATGACAATTCAACTTTCGTCATGAAACGCGTAAAAAATAGAGACGGAACGAAAGAACAAAAGCTTATGAATGCGGATGACGTAGATAGGGAAATTGTTAAAAACGGTCTCGGAATATATGAAATGCCAGCAGATGAGGTACAAGAAACTCCACAGGAAGAATAGTTCAGATTACAACCAGACATGGAAGAAATAGTTCAGCAACAACAGCTAGAAGAGCCTGAAGGAAACGAACAAGTCCTTCCTTTGGAAACTAACTTCACAGAACTAGATGAAGATTTGGAACAGCCGAAAATCTTGACCCTCAACAGAGGTATGCGGAGAATATGGAATATTTCCAAGAGTCTAAAAAAAATTCGGCTGACATAGTAGAAGAATATCGAAAAATGTTTGCCGACATACAAAAGACTCCAACACCAGATGAAAATATTCAGCATAGAATGAAAGTACTGAAAGAAAATGTACACAAATACAACAACCCTTTTACTTACGAGCATTTAACGTTCAATCTTCGGATGAACTCGGTGAAAATAAAAGGTTAAATTTCAAGAAAACATATAGAAATGAAACATTGTTTAAAGTTCATTCAGAACCTAACCAAGATGGAAACAAACCTACTTTTGTTTCTGCAGACGATGGAACTACAATGAGATGGGTCATAAAGCTAATCCAGATAGGTGGTTCATAAACTTACAACCACAATTCCAAGAAGTTGTAGACGCAATGGAAGTCAATGGTGAACCAGATATAGCTGGTATTTTCAGCGCGGCTTTAATGCCATTGAAAGATATGAAACATGCAGATATTTTGGACCAGTATGAAATGAACATGGCTGATGGAAATATAACACCTGACGTTCTAAAACATTTATCTCAAAGAACTACACAGAACCATAGAGATGGTATATTTGGTGAAGAGTTTAGAAAGAAAGTTAGGGAGGGCGAAGGAAGAGAACCTATTGTACATGACCTTGCAAACGAAAGTTTACAAAATGTCATAAAAACTTACTTTGCAGACAATGAAATGAGAAGGGATGAATATTTAAGAAAACTCAAATGGACAGTACCAAATGAAATGTTAGTATTGAAAAACATGTTCCTTGACAAAATAAAACCAACTACAGAAATAAACGACGCAAGACTGAAAGATTGGGTAAAAGCTTTCCCATTCACAAAAGATATAGTTGGTAACATGGAAAGAAAACCAGAATGGCTACAAAAACATATATTTGGAAACGAGCTTATTCCATATGGACAGGCACTGTTTGAAGAGCTTGAACCAGAAACTCAGGAAAGAGTCATGCAAACAATACGCAAAGACTCAAATACAGACTATGACAAACTCTTTCTAGGATATAGGTTACCTGAGATGGGCGACCAGAGCCAAAAGCAAAAAGGACATGGGAAATTTGCAACATACTAGATGAACATAATGCAAAGATGCAACAACTTCAAGCAGAGGGCAATGAAGGAAAAAGAAGAGTTAAAAACTCAGTCAGGAAGAAAGTAAAGCTTGGTCCACGTGGGTTCTATTATGACATATAAATCCAACTATTCTATATTTTTACTCATATGAAATGTACGCCGCTCAGAATATAACGCCAACAGTTTTGGATGCCTATGAATGGAAATGTTTCCGAATGGTATAACGAATGCGACAATGCCATTAGAAGGTCAGAAATAGTTCCTGGAACTTACGAATATACAACTGCTGTTTCTTATGGAAATGTAGGTGAGTTTGGAGAAGGTTCTTCAACAACAGTAGATATTGCTTGCGACAGGTTTCATATTATTTCTATTGACAACTCATTCTTATACGTGGAACAAGACATTGAAATTAAAACCTTCTGCCAAGTTGTCTGACAAGAAAGGTTGCAATGGAATTTTCTATGTCGGATACCAATATGCTCCAGAAGTTTTCATGGGATATAAGATATATTCTAACTCTGACTTAGTTCAAACAGTAACATGGGCAAACTATGAATGGTTCGCTTTAGAAAACTCAGTACAACCACAAGCTAGAGAACAAAACAGACCAGTATGCAAACTATTGAGAAAATAAGAAGACTTGACCCTAACGTTCCAGGAGTTTATGTTAACCTTTCTGGACAAACTGCAGCAGCAGTAACCAAAGTAAAACTGAAACTTAGAGTTCCTTTGTCATCTTTCCTCATCTTCAGGTTTTTAAGATACTTGCCAAACTGGGCAGGAAAAATTTCTATCGAACTTACTCCAAGCAAAAATAACTTAGTCATTGCACCAACACAAGACCCATTCACTCTTACAGAAGTAGTGGGAACAAATAAAATGTCATTCGCCGACTTTTGCAAAAACAAAGTTGACTTAGACTTTGGTTTCTCAAACCTCAACACTGAAGTAAACTATTATTTCAATGCTGCTGGAGATGCTTGGGACCCAGTTAAGTTTCACATGCGAAAAATTTGAATGCAAGAGAATAGAAAGCAGACTTGCAGTCTATATGTTGGACCCAGATATTTCAAATGCTTTAGCTGCCAAATATATTGCAGTTCCACTTATGTTCCCTATACACAAATATCTGTCAAAGACTTTGCAGGTGAAGTTGGAAACCAAAGTGCTGACCCAGGTGCAAGAACAGATATTGCTTTAACAACTGCAATGAAACATGCAGATACTATGTTTGTACTGTTCAGACGAACTATAAATGACTATTCTTGTTTCTACAACCCTGGTATTAAATATCATATAAACATAGATGGCAAATACTATCCAAGAGAAGAATATTCTACAGTTGAGGATATGAGGTCATACAACTTGACATTAGATGCTATGAACTTTAACAACAACTTCACAACAACCATTAACCCTGAAATGCAAAGTTCTATTATGCCATATGTGAAAGTATGGACTCATACAGGAGGTCAAAAAACTCAATATACAAATGGAGACCGTTCAAACTTTTGGCTTGGCATTCCATTTGCTGACTCAGAAGACTTTATGGGTGGTATTTCAACTGTTGGTACAGTTCAAATACAATAACTGGTGACAGAGACGGTCCAGATGAACTGAGAGCAAAGAAGTTTACAAAACCAATAGCACTTTTCACGGAAGATGCTCTTTTGAAGATTCGTTCGATGAAACCTGCTGGGGCTCCTCAGATTGGTATAACGACAGCTTCCATCGAGCAGATTTTGCAGCAGGTCAGTAAGTTGTTCTTGAACTGACTTCTCTCCGTCAAATATTGACAGTACGCCAGTTTTGATATAATATTGTATTAAAACTTCCTTTAGAAATATCGGTCAGTTTTGTTGTTATATTTTTGTCTGCTTCAAGAACTTTCACCATTTCAGTTATACCAACTTTCTTTGCTTTATGAAAATATTTTGGTTCAGCAAAGACTGCTATTCTATAACATTTTCCATTGTTTGTATAAAGAACTACTCTGTCAATGTATTTGTATTGTTTGTGTGTGTAAACTTTGTTCTGCTTCAATTCGAAGAGATACTCGAATACGTCCATCTTTTTATTCTAAGTAAAATGTCATTTCCGAAAAATAGAAGCGTAAGTGTTTCAAAAGGTTTAATGGCGGTGGCAGATGTGAAGTTAAATTCACCAACTCAAACAAACAGTCAAAGTGTTGTTGTCAATGTCAAAGAAAGAGATGTTGAAGTGGGGAAACCATACGAAGACCAAGATGGTATAACAATAGTTCCTGTAAAAGAACAACCAACATACCCTGAAGTTAGCAGAGACTTAAGTTCTGTTGCAGATATTCGAAATGACTACCAACAACTTAAAGACAAACTTAAAACTCAGGAGAAGATTTGTCAAGCTTTGGGTATAATGTTAAACTTGGTCGACACAACCCTGTAAAAGTGAACTCATATGTCATCGCACCTCATGAAATTTTGAAAGAACTATTGAAACTTTTGACAGAGGCAGACGATATAAACATCAAAGAAATAGAACCCGACATTGCTTGCTGTGGTGTTTCATACAATGTCATTGACAAGATATACGTTATGAAAGGAGGTGAAACGTTGAACTTAAAATATAGTTTCCCAGACGTCATAAAAATATTTGACGACCACAACATTTCATTAAAGTTTGTTTGCTAAGTAAATGGCAGAAGACATAGTGGTTTATACTATTACGACTAAAAACCCTGAGTCATATAATTCTATAACAACAAACTTACAAAGTCCTCAAGGACGATATTGTAAACTGACCTTAAACACGATGACGACTAAAGCCTGTTTTGCTCTTTTGACACCAAAGACTTTGTTGTTGTGAATGGTAAAAAATACTTCTTTGAAGATACTTACTCAGATATACCACCAACAGGTTTTGTTGACTTATTTAATACTTTAAGGACGAGTGTAACATGTGCTGCAACTAGAGCAGGTTTCATTATGTTTGGATGTCCGACTGAGTTTACTATAAACAATATGAGCTATAATACAAAACTTATATCTGGTTTTTACTACCAACAGTTTCCTATAACAGGAAAAGGTGTCATACAAGGAATGTCTGTTCCATTGACTTTAAGTACACCTATTTTATATATTGTTTCAAACTTAGGTTCAAAGTGCTATTCGAATGTTGACAGAAACTACTATGACAAAAGATACTCATGCGTATAAACAACACTTTCTCTGCTGGTTTGCCTATTGTTCATTCGAATGCAGAGTTTTCAACCTTAGTGAACTCAAACACTTTGGCAAGTATAACATTGACATTAGTTGACGCAAACTTTGTTCCTGTAAAACTTTTATGTCCTATGTATTTGTCAATGACGGCAGAAAGTTTCGAATTGGAAGATGCAACTGTGAAAGTATTGTATTACAAGAACAACTTCAACAACAAATAGCTCAAGAACAACAAATGCAACAAATGGAACAACAAAGTCAAGAATAAAAAAAATATTATTTTTTTTTATTTTTATAAAAATGTACAGAATAGATGTTTCAGATTTTTATGACTTCCAAGCATTCAGAAATATGTGTCCATTTCGAGACTATAACAAAGCAGTCGAGAATTTGAAACGTTTAGTCATTTATGTCGACTCTGCCCCAGAATGTTATGTTATGAAAGAATGGGATGTAGTCTTTAACAAACCTAAAGCGACAATAGTTTCAGAACAAGAATGTAGACAGAAACTTAAGAAAATAAAAGTTGTACAAGTTGGAATGAAGATGTTAGATGCTTGGGATATCTTATTGTCAAAGTTAGAAGATTTTTCAGTTCGTGGTATAAAGTTTTATACACCTTCTCCAAACTTCTATTCTATCTTCACTGGATATAAATATGAACAAGTAGAATGGAAAGAAAATATTATAGAAGCTTGGTTAGACCATGTCAAAGAAATTATATGCAATGGAAACGAAAAGGTTTATGAGTATATCTTATGTTGGTTTGCAAACATCTTACAACATCCAAGTGCTAAAAATGAAACTGCTCTCATTATAATTGGAAAACAAGGAACTGGTAAGAATACTTTCTTTACAGATATTTTGTGCAAACTGTTAGAAGGTTATTCGAACCCTAATATGACAAACTAGAAAACATCTTGCGGTAAATTTAACTCTTCAATGAGAATATGAAACTTATAGTTTGCAATGAACTTCAAAGTATAGATACAACAAAGTTTTAAACTCAGATGCTTTGAAGAGTCTTATAACAGACAAAGTTGGAGTTGTTGAAAGAAAGTATAAAGACCAAAGAGTTTGTGAAAATGTTGCAAACTTCATTATGGTTTCAAACAATGCTGTTCCGATGAAGTTAGAAAGTTCTGACAGAAGATATGTAGTGTCAGAACGTCAGATTCTCATATGCAAGATACTGAATATTTTTGACGCTTTGTCAGAATGTTTGACATCTGACTTTTACAACCACTTGTTCTCATATTTCATGACATTAGATATTTCTAAGTTCAATCCAAGACAAATTCCACATACCGAAGAGAGACAAACATTGTTAGAAGCAAAACAAGAGTGTATATGAACTGTTCATAGATGAAACTGACTTTGTGTCATTAGATGAAAAGTCTTTATATGATGAATATAAAACAATATTGTCAAGAATATGGTTATATGGCAGCTTCTAAACGAACATTCTTGGCAAATGTCAAAAGTCTTTTAGACGTTCAGAATGGTGTATATACAAAGAAAAATTTTTCTGAGTAAATTTTAAAAAAATATTTTTTTATCCGATAAAAGATGACGAAATATATTTCAGTCAACAAATATATGTCAGGACTTAAAGAAGAACTAGAACCATTCACATATTTGAATGTTTACTTCTACCATTTTGAAAAGTCTACATTTGACAAAGTTTGGAACATCGAACCAGTTAAGTTTGCTGTCGTGACTAAAAACGGTGCGAAATTTGAAGACTTAGACATAGAAGGTTGTTAGCAGTCAAAAAAATTTTGACAGAAGTTCTCAAACCTTAAAGAAGGCAAAGCATACAAACTTGTATACCTTATGAACCAAAGAAAGCAGACGACTATGAATATTATGAGTCTAAGATAGTTGAAGTTCAAGGTAAATTGGGTAAAAAGATTTTAGAGTCTAAGCCAGTGTTTGCTCCTAAAGAGGAAGAGAACATTGACATTGACCCAGAAATGTTCTAAAAATAAAATTTTATTTTTACATGTCAAATTTCTTCTTCTCTGGCTCTGGTTCTTTCTTCTCTTCTTCTACTTTCTTTTCTTTCTTTTCTTTCTTTTCTCTCTTCTTCTTCTTTTCTGGTGGAGTTATGTCAAATTTCTCAGAACCATATTTATGTAAAAGTTCTTTGTCCTTTAATAGCTCTTCTATTCTGTTTTCTATTTCATCTTCAAGAACAGCGCATGTGCCTTCTTTGCATTCTAAGAACTTTTGTTGGACTTCATCTTTCCAATCGGCGTCATCTCTGTCAACAAGTCTGTCATTGACAAACTTAAAGACTTCTCTGCCTAATGTTTTATGGTTCTTGTCATATTCCCAGAAACAGAACTTTAGAACAAATTCACCTTTCTTGTTTACACTATGTAAGATTTTATGGTCGACAGATGTTTTAGAGTCGAAAAGCTTGTCTCGAATATAGATAGCGAAATCGCTAGACATTTTCAAAAAGATAAAAATTTTAATTTTTCTAAAAATATGTTAGAAAAAAAGTTTGCTGACATTGACAAGAAATTTGAGAATGTTTTAAACAAGAACAAGAGGAAGTTAGAAAATGCTCAGATAAAGCCTATACATGACAAGTTCCTATTTGCTCAGAATGGTATAACAGGTCTAATCGCACCACCTGGGTCGGGCAAGACTTTCACTTATCTTAAAATGGCTGCACAACAACAAGAACTAGATGAGAAGAACCCATTCTATGAGTTAGTTGTTATTTGTTCGACTTCTGGTCAATTTGACCAAACCGTCAATTCGTTCAAAGATATTATAAAGAAGTCTAAGTTAGTATGTATAAAAGACTCTGAGTTGTTAGATTGGATAAAGAAGTACCAAAGAAGAGTTTTGAAGTACAATGCTATAAATGAGTATATAAATTCTAAGTTAAAGACCCAAATGAGGAAATGCAGAGAATATTAGAGAAGAAACACTTCAGAAACAAACAGAAAGAGATAGAATACATTCGAAGAAATTGCAATCTTACGATTGAAGACTTACCCTCACAGATGTCTTCTTATCTTAGATGATTTCGCCTCTCATCCTTTGTTAAAGAACAGAGAACAAGATATGTGTCGAATTCTTAAGAAGCTCAGACACTTCAACATCTCTGTTGTCATTTGTGTACAGACAGCAAAGAGTTTAAGTAAGGATGTAAAGAGAATACTGACTGACATAATACTTTTCCCTGGATTGTCCGAAGACGATTTCATGGAACTTATGAAAGAGTCCATGGCAGGTAAGTTTGACAGACATGAACTATGGGAGAAGTATAAAGTCATACAAGACCCTCATACTTCTTTCAGAATTCACATCTACGCGAACAAAGTTCAAATTGTAAAAAGTCAAGCTTGAAAAATATAAGTGTTTAGTCTTAGTCTGTTGTGGTGCTGGGTCTGTCGGTTCTTCTGGCTTTGGGGCTGTCGGTTGGTGGTACGTCGGACATTCGTTTGTGTCCTGTCGGAAGGAAGAACTTTTCCAGTTGTCGGGAAAATTTTTTCCAGTTGTCGGGAAAAATTTTTTCTGTTGGAAGGAAAAACTTTTTCTGAAGGTCGGCCAAAAAGTTCTCAATTTTCGAAAATTTGAATGGTTTACGGACGAACAACAGGAAATTTTTTTCCAGTTGTCGGGAAATTTTTTTCCAGTTGTTGGGAAATTTTTTTCTTGTCGGATGGAAGAACTTGGAATGTCGGAAGGAAGGACTCGGAATGTCGGAAGGAAGAACTTGGAATGTTGGAAGGAAGGACTCGGAATGCCAGAAGGATTTGACAAGCCAATTTACCATCTAGAGCTACCTGAGCCATCTGAAGTCAAGACCAAAAATAAATGGTTCATTTACTCTGCTTGTTTGAAGTTGTCAAAATACTCTGTTATTTTTTCCTTTAACAATGGCAAATCTTCTTTGAAGGTAAGAATTGTACAACCTTTAATATCATAGTGTGTTTGAGGTAACGTATCTTGAACTATTTGTTTCACATCTTCATTTGGGGTCATTGAAATCGGTAAGTTTTCGCGATAGAACCAATTTCTGTCAGATTTGTAAATCTTAGCAAGGTCGTAAAAGCTTTTGTTGTTTCTTCTGACTAAATGCAACATAACCATATCTTTATCTTCTTCATTTTCCATCTCTTCAGTATAAATCATATACTTATAGTTCTTTTCCTTTCCTTTTGGTACCGAACGTGGTATTCTTTTCTGAATGCTTTTGTCTTTTGCTTCAAGCTTGTTTTCCATCTCTTCACGTTCTTGTCTGTGAAGTTCGTCAAGAAGTCTGTAAATATTCCAAGCATAACGAGGCGAAGCCCACATTGCAACAGCATTTACAAGAAGTCTATGTACATACCAACCTCTCAAACCATTTGGCAATTTTTCACGATTTTCATAGAGTTTTGGCGACTGGGGTTTCCCTCCCACTCGCTGTTCTTCACTGTTTTCAGAAAAAAGTATGTCTCGCTGTGCTTCGCTCAAAAGTTCTTGTGTGCTTTGGTTCCTAAACCAGTCTTTAGGAAGCTTAGTATCTGGAGCAAAACATGCTGTCAAAATACTTTGCATTTGGTACATATCGTCTTTGACCGAACGAATGAGACGGAGTTGTTTGTTAAACTGAACCCACTCATATTCTTCATTTATATCTTCATGGACTATAACTGTTGTTGTGTTCTCTGTTGTTGACATATCTGTCTTTACATACAAAATAAAAAAATAAATAAAAATAAAACTAACTTTATTTTTTCTATCTTTCACAAAAGACCAAAAATAAACGCTTTACATGTATTTTTCAGCAACTTCGTCAAATAATTTTATAGCTTTATCTATCTCATCTACTTCAAACGTTTCTTTACCTTTCGTGGGAGCACCATATATTTTCTCAAACTTTTCAAGTAGTTCTGTTTCTGCAGCTCTCATATCGTTAACGAACACAACCTTGACTCTATTGACTGTATTGTCATATCTTTGAGTTATATTATATGTTCTTCCTATCTTATATCTTTTTGTATTGAAGTCCTTCGGTTTCTGAACGATGTAAAGTAAGCCTTCACTGCAACGTTCTGAGTCGAACGAACCATATGTTATGAAGTTATATCCAACAACTGGGTCTAACCATAACAAAACTATTGGTATAAGACTTTTGTCTATAAGATATGCTCTTGTTCCATGAAATGCTACTGATATCATAAGCTCAGGATTTCTTGTCAAAATTTTCTGAGTTGAAGCAATTCCAACCCAATGCCATGTTTTCTTTCCAGATGGAGATATAATGTCTGACAAAGAATATTTGTTGTATTTCTTTGAGTATCTTACGTTTAAATCACCAATTCTAACCAATTTAGTGTTATTGTCTATCTTTTTAACTGTTTCAAACTCAGTGTTTGTCATATATGTTCTTACATACAAAATAAAAAAAATATTTTATAAAAAACTAACTTTATTTTTTCTATCTTAAGGAAATTCATGAATTTTGGTCATTTTTCAGCAAAAAATAATGTTTAGGTGAAGAGGTGAGATTTCACCTGTTTTTTCACCTCTTTTTTCACCTCATTTCTACCCCAGTTATTTTATAAACGTTTCACATGGTAAACGTTATTTTTTAAATTTTGTGAAAACTCAACGGTTTGACACAAGCCATATGCCATTTTACTCAGAATTTTGTTGCTGAATTCAATAAAAATAATGTTTAGGTGAAGAGGTGAGATTTCACCCGTTTTCTCACCTCTTTTCTCACCTCTTTTTTCACAAGCGTTTTACATGAATTGTACGATGTATATTTGAAATCCTGAACAATTTCGTAGCTTCTATTTCTTCTGTCAGTATGTCAAAAGTTTTCACAATGCCGAATGTTTCTTTATATTTCTTCTTGACATCAGATAGAAGGAAATCGTCAGCTGTTGGATAGTTTTTGTTCAGAAATGTCAACATGTCCATTTTATCTTCTGCTGGTTTCTCTGCTTCTTTCTTTAAATCTGCATAGTCGTTTCGCATACGTTCTATCTCTTTGACGGAGTAGTTATATTTCCTCATTGCTGCTTTACATTTAGAACATTGTGGGTTCATTTTTGCATTGTACATTGAAATAAAACCTGCAAGTACAACTAAGGCGTCAATGGTTTTCTTTAACTCAAAAGTTGCTGGTTTTATCTGTTCGTTCCATACTTTACCTCTTTTATCTTTATCTCTTATCTGCCATACACATTTTGCAACTAACGAAACAAAGTTGTCGTAGGTCTTAAATTCTTCAGATTTGTATATGTCAGAAACATTTTTATATACCATATCGCAATCTTTGTCCATGACTTTGTGGTTGCAATGAAATCCAAAAACTCATAGTTTACCTTACGTATGAACTTCTTGGTTTCTACTGAGTCAGTTGGTTTCACTTCTATTTCATCGAATTCTGGAATAGTAAGCTTTTGTTGTTGTATTTCAGGAAGTTTAGGTAGATGGTCAATAATATCCTGCATTTCATAAAGATATTCTTCATTTGTTTCATCTTTCGCACTACAGTCTAAATCTCCTTGGAGAAGTTCTTGCTTTATCTTCTGGATTTCTGTTTCGAAAGTATATGAAGAAGGAATGAAGCTTTTCATCTCTACTAACATAGATGTTGGGTTCATGACTAACGAGTTTGGTGCTGTTGTTGCTAACATGTTCTTACAATAAAAATAAAAAAAATATTTTATAAAAAACTAAAATATATTTTTTATCTTAAGGAAATTCATGAAAATTCAACAGGTGAGAAAACAGGTGAGAAAACGGGTGAAATCTCACCTCTTCACCTAAACATTATTTTTGTCGAAAAAAATGGTTCATTTACTCACAATATTTTTGTACAAAACAACCCCAAGCTTTTAACCTCTCTTCTGCAGCTTCTAATGCTATCTTAGCGAGTTCATATTCTCTAAATTCTCTCTTTAAATCTTCTTGTTCCCATTGGTCTAGTTCGTATGGCGAGTCTCTATAACCAGAACATATCTCACGTTCATGTTCTATTTGTTTTTCATGCATTTTTCTAACTTCTTCTTCGAACAAAGGTTTTGCATTCTCTACTGTATCTTCAAGTTCTTCTTCATCTAATTTCTCATGAACTTTCTTGTCTATGGAGTCCATAATTTTTCCAACTGCTATGCAATATTTTGGAGAAGCCCACATTGCTATATAGTTTACAAGTCTTGGGTCTACATACATTCCTCTAACCTGTTTGATTTCATCAGGAATTCCTGCATGAATTTTGTATAAAAAGCAACCCGCTGTTTTCCGCGGGTTGGTATATTCTTCACAAAATGCCTCAAAATACTCTTCCCAGGACTTATTTTCCAACAACCTTCTAAAGTCTTTCCTAAACTGCTGACACATCTTTGTTGCATTTATATAACCATCCTTGTCTCTACGTAAGACTTCAATACCGTTGTAAGTGCCTTTTGTGAATGTTTCGCCATTAGATTTGTTCGTGAACGTTTTTGCTTCGACTGTCATACTGTTCTTACAATAAAAATAAAAAATATTTTTGGCTTAACCGTCGGACATTCGTTTGTGGCTTAACCGTCGGACCACAACGATAAAAATCTCGACAAAACATATACGATGAAGAAGTCTTGACAAAACATTTACGATGAAGTCTTAACAAAAAATATACGATGAAATCTATTTCCTGTGTTGTTGTCAAAATGTCATGTTGTCACACTTTTTCAAAAAGATGTTAGTTGACCGAGTGACCGAGTGACCGAGTGACCTGGTCGCCTAAAATATATTTTTTTCTATCTTAAGGAAATTCATGAAAATTCACCTGTTGAATTTTGTATAAAAAGCAACCCGCTGTTTTCCGCGGGTTGGTATATTCTTCACAAAATGCTTGTTTTGAGGTCGAGCCATTTTTGGCTCCACCGTATTTTTTCAACCAAAATATATTTTTCAATACTTTTTCAGCACTTTTCCGTAGTTATATATGAAAGACAATTCGAGATAAAAGTCATAGTACAGTGGAATAATATGCTGCACACCATTTGTTGTGAACCAAACTTGAAAGTCAGAGAAACTGTTACTAGGTGGTTCGTAGAATTTAGAAGCAAAGTCATAAAAGTCCTTACCGATACAAAGAAAACTGTTGTTGCTTGAACTGAAACTTGCATGACATATAACATTTTGAGGGTCAAACACGTTTTTATAAACTGTCAAATCTGTTGGTGGGCGTATAAATTTAAACGGACCGTCAGGTGGTAATGGTTCGTTCTGGTTTAGTAACCGAAGAAATTGCGCCCAAGAACGTTTGTCTACTTCCCAAAATAAAAACTGTGTACTTCTTCGAGGGTTAATTTCAATCCTTTGAAATGAAACTGTGGAGTTCATCTTGTCATATTCTAGTTTCAGATAGTATGTTCCATTTAGTAAAGAGTCGTATTTTTCTTGAAATTCCCAGTAGTATTTGTTTATTTGAGTTTGAAAGTCATTTAGAGTTTTCTCAAGACTTTCGTCTGAACGAACTGTAAAGATTCTCATTTCGTCAAATTTGTCTATTAGACCATCAGAACCTTCATATTGCCCATGAAAATATACTGCGAACATAAATGCGTTAGTTCTATTTGAAAACAAAACTCTTCTAAATCCTATTGCCTTTGCATCTGAAGGACTTTGAAGCCAACGAATTGGAAAGTCAAACCTGTAAGTACGGGATGAAATTTCTTCATCTGAAAGATTTCTACCAGCGTTTGTGAAGATATAGTCTAACGGTTTTGTATCTGCTACTTTTGTTCTTTGTTTTTCAACCTGAAACATTTAATATATGTAAAAATATACTGTTTTAAAAAATGTTTTTACTTCATGCAATGTTTTACTTCATGCAACGTTTTACTTCATGCAATGTTTAACTATTTCACCATCTTCTTTAACACCCCAATACTTACGCTTGGAGAGGACATGAACTTCGGTGAAAATTTTGTCCAATTTGAATTGACCCATCTTTTCACCGACCATGCCCATTTCAATGAGTTTGTTGTACCCTTCTTCGTTCGTCATGAGTGCGTCAATGTTCTCATAGTAAACCACAACTTTCGATTTGACTTCGGAGAAGAATTTGTTGTAGTTGTCAAGGACTGCTTTTGCGAACTGAGGGTAAGACCAATGTTCGACAATAGGTTTTAATGTGGTTACTAAGCCACTTTGACCTTGAGTGAATTCGTACTTCAAAACAAAAGGAGAAAACCTTTCAACAAAGTTGTCGACCTTCTCATAATGTTTACTCTTCATCTCTTGAGGTTTCTTAATGGAATATCCCCATGTCGAATTCATAAGCAATTTGAGTGTCATTGCAAGTTTGGGGTTTGAAGCTTTCCTAATATCATACAGTTGTTGTATGACTTTTCCAACTGTATAGTTCCTTCCCGAGAACTCACCATCTTCGTTTGGAATTCCAGTCGGGATATATTGGACGAACCTCATGTATGCAGCGTTAAGGTCGACATAGTATATCTTTTCATATGAGTCGAACTTGTCGCAACCAATTGGTCCAGTTTGTGGAAATTCAAGTGAGTCTCTTATCTTCTGAGAAACTTCTCCTGTTATCTCATAAACATCGTCGAAGCAACCTGTTTCATATAAAACCTTCTGACCTAACTCAGATGCTCTCCAATACAATTTGACGTCAATTGGATTTCTCAATGGAAGTTTGTTTATAGCATCTTGAAGTTCTTGCAACCTCATTGGAAGTTCTTCTGGTTCAGGTTGGTATCCGAACAATCCAACTCCTTTTGGAATTGTGTACTTCTTTTGTACTAGAACTTTGTCTGGAACAACTTTTGGTCTTGCTAACAATGAAAAGTTTGTTTCGTCTTTTGGTACAAAAGTTTCTGTCAGCTTGTCATCTGGAATTGGTTCCAACAAACCTTTCTCGAAAAGAATGTTTACAGCTCTGACAATGTTACACTTACCTTTTCCGAACAATGGGTTTGTAAACTTTCGACATCGAACTGAAGTGGTTGTGGACAATTGCAATCTTCAACCATGGTAAATTGAACTCAACAACATAGTCGTCATGTGAAGAACCTTTAGCTGTAGGTATGCTGACTCGGATATTGACATTTGCCAACGGTGCAATTTTTGCCAATTGACCTCTGAGAATGTACCTTGTCTTCACACATGACTCAAGATACTTCATCTTCTCTTCTGTAACAAGACCAGAGTTCCTGAGACATGTGAGAATACAAGGTTCATTGACAATTGTTTCAATTGAATTGTAAATTCCATACCTTGTCAAGTCAATGTCAGACTTATTTATGAACGGGAAGTATCCAGCATGTTGTCTGACTGCTTGAGGGTTAGGTTGGTACCATTCGAACTTGACACTTGCAATTCCTTCAATTGCATTCAAAATGTCTGAGTCGGAGTCAACCATTTGTTCTCTCTTTGTAGTCTTGAAAGCGTCAAGAAGCATTGCAGCTGTTGTGACATGCCATGTGCATAGTAAATGTGACCATCCAAATCTGTTATAGTTAGTCTGAGATTGTATCCTTTCTTTTTCCATCTTGTATGGCAGCAAGTACACCATGAAGCCTTCTTTGTTCTTTCCTTCGTCAAAGTTTACTGTAAAGGTTCGACCAGATGTAATTTGACTTCTAACTTCACGATACTTTTCATATGCATATCTGTTCTTTCCATGGGAGCATGTGTGTCTTCACCTTTTCCTTTTTTCCTTCTCAAAGGATGCAATTGTTCGTCATGTTTCCAGTAGAATCTGGCAAAGCCGTCGTGTCCTTCAACTTGAGGTTCACTAACATCGAAAGGTATATCCATAAGACGCTCTTCTTCTAACCTCTCTAATCTGTTTGGATAATTTGCGCGTGCTGTTTCCAAGTCCATTTCATAGCGAAGACCAGACAGTTTGTCATAGACTTTTATGGGTCTTCCCTTCCTATATTTAAACTTCTTTGAAACTCTCCAACCATATCTTTCTAACTCTGCTTTTATTCTAGCAGACCTTCTATCCATTCTATACGGGGGCATTTTTATAAAAATAAAAAAATATTTTTTTCTTTACTTTACATAACCACCTGCTGCCATAAGTCTTTGACGCCAACCCATACCAGCTAATGAAGGTTGACTTGGTTTAGTTTGGAAACTAAACTTTGGTTTTGGTTTATCTTCAGTTTTTGGTTTCTCTTCTTCTATCGGTTTTTCGTCACTTTTCGGTTCCTCTGACTTTACCTCACCTGCAGGAACAGTTGTGTCGTCAACATCTTCATAAATATCATATGCCATTTGTTTTTGTTTTCCTTTCAACTTTTTGTGTTTGTTGTAAAGTTTAGAATATTTCGACTCTAAGTCAATGAGATGTTCTATAATGAACTGTTGGTCAGTGAAGTAAACTTTTCCATCTGTTGTCTCGAAAGCTCCTTCAGACTTCAATATTTTATTTGTGAGAGTCTGTTTCTTTTTTGAGATACTTGCCGTTCCATTTCTATGAAAAGTGACTTTGTAGTTAGGGTTTGTATTTCCAGACCTGGCACTTTCTATTATTGAATTTTTCTCTTCATCTGTAAGTTCTTTGACAGGTTTTGACAATGGTTCTGAACTTTTTGTTTGTGGTGTCAAATCTACCGTTTTCAACTTCTTCGGTCATTTCATCTCAGTAAAAATTTTTTTGTTTTGTTTTCAACTGGTTGTTTAGGTTTTTTAAGTCGGTCTAAAACTTCCTGAGGTTTAGGAAGAACTTGACAAACACCGTGGTTGTGTAACTGCTGGAAGCCGACAAATCCATCTTGAACCCATTTGTCTCAATGCTGTATTGTTCATTTCATCTCAGTAAAAAACTTTACATTCCCCACGTTTGAGGGTTGAGGTTGGTTATTGTTTACCCATTGTTGTGCATGTTATATCCTCTGTTAAAGAATCTTTCACCTTGGTCCATGTAGTGTCCTGCTTGTTATAGTAGTCATTTGCTTTGTTATAGTAGTTTCCTGCTTGTCTGGAAACATTGTCCATCCATCCTTGAACTTTTCCTCTTGTTTCAGGATTTGGAATAAGATTTGCTGCATCTCGTGCGCTACATCCCAACCTTTCTGTACAGTTTGTATAATAGGTTGTGCTTTCTCTTTCAGTATACCTAAAGTACTCAAAATCTTCCTTCCAACTCCAAATACACCTCTGGCTATTGTTCCCACTGCGGGTAAAAATCTGGATGCAACTCCTGCTAATGCGCCAAATAAACCATTTCTTATAGGGTAAAAATGACGAATCCAAACAAGGGACCCCTATGTTTCTAAAGCGACAAAGAAAAGCACTCATGATAAAAATCTTTAGTTCAACACCAAATGCTTGGTTTATGGATATCTTGGAAAACATTCGAGGTATAGAGAAGACGGACCACCATACTGGCTAATATTTGTTGGTCCAAAACACAAGATACTGTGAAGCCATACCAATGGTCCAAAATATTTTAGATGTGAAACTGCTTTGACAATATTCGTTGACAAATACCATCCAACAAAACTGACATCTGACTGTGAAAGTTCTTTCAAATCAGACGATATTAAAAACTATGCGTTCAAAAAATGTAAACCAATATTTCATTGTCGACCAAAACCATTCTGCTCTTGGTGTCATTGACAGTTGTATTAAAAATCTTAAGAGACTTAAATCAACCACAAGGTGGTGAGGTAGATGAAATGTCATATGACGACAAATACAGACACTTCTCCATGGCAAAGATGAGACAAGTTAAATATTTACAATAGCGTAAACAAAAAGGTTTGGAAACCACTCCCCCGAAGAAATGAAAAACAACCCCGACTTAGAGAAAGACTATATATTTAATAGTTTAGTCAAAAGAGACAAACAAGAAAGAATGCCAGGCTTCAAACTTAAGAAAGGTGACAAAGTAAAAATAGAAATACCTAAACGCGACCCATATGAAAATACTATTGACTATGACAACAATGGGAACTCGACAGGTACTCGCATTCGTGTTCGTAAAAATAGAAGAAAGTTACAAGAGAATATTATGAAGTTTTAGGCAAACATGGCAAAATGTACACACTGCAAGCAGGAAGATAAAACTACTATTGTCAGACCTTCGTTTCAAACTTGTCAAAGTTCAAGGTGGTTATACTTTCAAAGACAGTTCCTAACAAATATAAGACAACTGCTGACGAATATGCTAAAGAAGTTGAAAATGACGACTAAGCAATTCTATACCATGCGTAAACTGTCATGTAAGGTGGCATGTATTCTTTACTCTGTTTCCCGTTGTTTCTGTATATCCTGTAATGCGATGTGTATGGCTTCCTCCTCCCTGAGTGTCATCCCAGTAACAATTTATAGCAAACTTAACGTCGTCTTTAACATCATATCCTTTACCTTTTGTCATTCCTGTCCAATCCCAATATCTATGCTTTTGCCAACCTGCTTCAGCTGTAGTTAAATTTATGTAATGACTGTGTGCAGGTAGGTTTTCACCTGAAATCGTTTTTACTTCCACCTGTTTCCTTTGAAGAGTTTGCACAATACAAAAAACCTGTCGACTATTTGAGTCCAAGTTCCAAAACCAAGTACTACTTCTGGTCTGGTAGAGTTCATTGACGTATAAATAGAACCTATAGGATATACTGTTTGAAGTATTTCTGTCTTTAATGTTTGAAGCTCTGTTTTGTCTGCTTTTTTATATAACTTTTCTTCAAGTTCATTTACGTCAGAGATGCTATGTCTATGATATTTTTGTGGGTATGTTCCTTCTGTCCATGCGAAAATACGTTCTTTTGTTGCATCTACATATCCTTTTATCCATGTCGAGTCTGCTTTTGTATTCCTTAACTCTGTAACACCTTTCTCAAGCTCTTTCAACTGTTGTCCATCTTCCATTAACCTCTGGTATGACTTGAAACCGTTTGTGCCAACATATCTACAGTTTCTTTGTCGGCTTTAAGGTCTAAACATCCTGAAACCCACCCTGTATTGGCTTTACCTTCTAAAATCTTCGATGTCCGTTCATGGTACCATTCAACCCTTTTTATAATTTCATTGTCTTTTTCATCCACATATTCCTTATCTGCCTTCTTCACTAACCCACTAGCCAGATATGCTAACTCATCGTCAACATACTCTTTGTCAGCTTTCTTTTCAACATCCTCTTTTGTTGCATATGTTGCATCTGCTCTGTCATGTTCTTCTTGAACTTTTTCAATGACATACTCTTTGTCAGCTTTGTTGTCAATATCTGCTTTCAAAAGAAGTTCATCTATAGGTTTCTCGTTTAAAGTTCCTTTTGTTGGATTTATACAAACAGTATGGTTCTTGTTGTCTTGAAACAGAAACTCATCTGTCATTGGGTTTATCGTCAGTTTTAAGTTTCCTTCTTTCAATGACTCAGATATCTTAGAATAGTTTGAAAAGTTTGTTGTGTTCTTATTTAGAGCTTGTACAATGAGTTGTCGGTTGTGTTGTATTTCTCTCATAGACGCTGTTTCATTTGACATTTTTATTCTAGATAAAAAATGCTTCCAATAGAAAAAGAAAATTCAAGAGTTGCTACAACTAAACCATTAGATGAACTTTTTACTAATGTCGGTCAAAAGTTTGAGACAGAGACCGTAAAGCATGAAGGCTATCGTTTTGACTACCCATTAAGATGGCTAAGAGACCCATCTGTCACAAAGCTATTGGCTTTCGTAGAATGAAGTTTGTGTCTGTAGAAGATAAAAGTTTTCCATTTATTGTAAGGTTTCATATAGATTATATATCTGAAGGGAAACGAAAAATGTGGGAAGAAATTGAGCTAATACAAGTTGACCTTTCATCTTCTCTACAGACTGCGTTAAAAAATATAGAAGATAAAATAAATTCATGTTATGCAAAATATGCTGATGAATATGCAAATACCGAGAGCACACTTTATGTGAGAATTGTATATGACAAACAAAATTCACAAGTGTCATTTCAAATCTACGAAGACAATCCAAAGAAAGACGAACAAATATATACAGAATTCACTGCAATGTCATGGTATATTTGCAAAGAATGTTAAATCAGAAAGTCGAACTTCCTTTAGCAAATATTTACAGTCGATATGCAAGAGATGAACCATATTTATTTAAAGATGTTTTCGACCCAGCTGCTATTATTGTTCATGCTCATTTTCTGGCGCCCAAAAACTCTTTCTTATGCTTGGCAAATGACTTTTACGAAAAACCTACAAAGCTATATGAACCACCCAAGTGGAAGTATTTCAGACTTTCAAGTATAGATGTTTACTACAGATGAAGAAAGAGAATAATTCCATTAATACCATGCGTTTTACTTAGAACTTAGTTTCATATACAACTACTATCGAACGGTAAAAATATAATTTTTAATACGGTTGAGGTGTTGGATTTGGTTGCCAACAGACTGTGTGCAGGTTCAGGCTGTTGTATAACAGGAGCTGTTCTTCTGGTTCAGGGTCTTTAGGTATAATACCAACAAACTGACCTACCCTTTTACCAATATTTTTGACTCCGTTCCAAATTCCTCTTCCTACGGTTTTTATTCCATTCCATATACCTCTTCCAACATTTTCGAAAGAAGTTTCCTATCTTACTGAAGAAACCCATTTTACTATATGTAAAAATCTAATGTCCGCCTAGTCTCTTACGTTCCTGTTGAGTTCCATAGCATTCTTTAACTGGAGCTCATACATTCTGTTTCTCCTCTGGTAGAAAACATATTCTGGGTCAACTCCTGTGTTCGCGTCATCTGCATAAAGTTGTTTATATCCCACTTCAGGGTTTGTATAAAACTCTTTCCATCTCATATTTGCATACCATGGTGGCAAACCTAACGCAGCGTCATTTGACATGGCAGTTTGCATTTGTACATCTGTTGGCACTTGACCATAGTTTGCCATTGCAGTTGTATTCTAACTTCATTTGGAATATTCTCTGGTTTGGTGTCCAGGTTGCTGTGCATTCGCTAAGTTCTGTGCGTCCATTTAATATTAGATAAAAATATCTCTTACGAGTACATATGCTGAACATTTGCTGGTATTGGTTCATCTTCATATTCTCTGTACCTTTCTGCCACGTCAAATAAGTAAATGACACAATGGAAAAAACCTAAAACAAGTAGTCCTATTTCAAACCACATTTACTTACTAGTAAAATTTCTTTGTTATGACACTTTCTCCAGTTTATAGGACCTCTCTCATATTCTATCTTATCGTATCTAAACTCATAGTCATGTATGTCCTCTAACCATCTCATGACACTTTCCAAACCACTTTTATCGGATGTAAAGTAAAAGCATGGATGTTATGAAAACGTCTAAAGTTTCTAAAGAGTCTCTCAAAGTCCAGTCTACTTGGTATTGAAAATCCCATGTGTTATAGAACGGCGGGTCCACTATAAAGAAAACATTTTCCTTGTCTTTATATTTTTCATACAACTCTGTCCAATGACATCTCACAAACTCTATACCCTCAATATATTTTTCTATGTTCTCTTTGAAAACATTTGTATAGTTAAGATATAAAACTTTTGACATAAGTGTTCAATGTCATGAACTCTTATAGCACCACTATTATAATAGTCTAGCAGATATACTATCCCAGTCAATATACTCTGCCTTTTCAAAACCTCTCTGACAGTATTTTTCTTATCTAATGGTATACGTTCCATCTTACCTATAGGTATCTTTTCTTTTAACTCTTTCAATATTTTGTTTGTGTCTGGTATATGTTTGAGACGGTTCATATAGTTGTCGAAGTCATTGCATATAATCTTTGAGTCAGGAAATATTGTATGGCACAGATGGGATATATAGAAACTTCCACCGAACAAATCTACAAATGTTAGACCATTCGGTAGTTTCTTAAGTTCTCTCAATAGAATATCTTACATCTACTCTTATTTCCAAAGAAGGGTAACGGTGGTTTTGTAAAATACATTTTATATATATAATAAAAATGTTTTTTTTCCTGAAAAGTGACAGATGTTTATTGTGACTTCTTCGTAAAGACTTTGTTATGACTTCTTCGTAAAGACTTTGTTGAGATTTCTTCGTAAATGAGTGTAAATGACCCAAAAATATATTTTAGGTGAAGAGGTGAGATTTCACCTCTTTTTTCACCTCATTTCTCACCTCTTGAATTTTCATGAATTTCTTCGTAAAGACTTTGTTAAGACTTCTTCATCTAATTTCTCATGAACTTTCTTGTCTATGTTTTGTCAAGATTTCATCGTAAAGACTTTGTTGAGATTTCTTCGTAAATGACCCTAGTAGTATATTTTTGGTGTAAATTTCATGAAAATTCAAGAGGGTGAAAAATTAGGTGAAAAAACAGGTGAAATCTCACCTCTTCACCTAAACATTATTTTTGGTGTAAAATTCATGAAAATTCAAGAGGGTGAAAAATTAGGTGAAAAAACAGGTGAAATCTCACCTCTTCACCTAAACATTATTTTTGTCTGATTTTACGAAGAAGTCTTGACAAAACATTTACGAAGAAGTCTTGACAAAACATTTACGAAGAAGTCTTGACAAAACATTTACGAAGAAGTCTTGACAAAACATGAAAACATATATAATTTGTGAAAAGTGAAACATTATATAATGTTTTCGACCAAGAAGACTAACAATTTTCCGAATAAAAACTTCATTTATACTAAACATCTTCGGGGCTAGAGGGCACGAAGTGCCTGGAAGCCCCACTGCCTTTTTTTTTTTTTTTTTTTTTTTGATTGTTATGATCATACTAAAAAACCAGCTTTCTCAATATGGTTTACACCTTTTTAGATACGGTTTTTATGTATTCTAGCTGCTTGATAGTTAATTCATATAAAAATGATCGAGCATATATTATATGCTATTGAAGTACAATGTAATGGATTAGCATTTAAATCACTAAGTCTCAACTTGATGAAATATTCAAGATTATTTGAGATTGTAAATATCCATTTTCTTCAAAGAATTATAATTGTTATAATATAAGGAACCTATTTATGTTATTATTTATATATGTTATCATATAATAGCTAATATCTCATTATTAAATCTATTTCAATTTTTTGAACTAATCATACCTCCCAGATCGCACACATATGGGGACAATATCTTTCCTACTTTTAGCCCTAAAGATTTAAGGTTTACACCTTTTTGCCCGGTTTACACCTTTTTCTCCTGACTATATTTATGAAAATTGTAGGAACTTCGGAAGATTTTTCATACTAGGCTCAATGCCTATTTAAAATTGAGATTTAGACCAAGAATATGCACATTGGGGCTCATAAATGGGCATTTATTAGACTAAATTTTTAAATTATGAAATAAAATCAATTTAATTTCAAATTTTTCTTGTTCAAAAGAGTTTCCATGACTAGTAGAAATAGACTATGCTTCACTAATACTATTATAAATTATTACAAATTTCTCATATGATTGTCATAGTGTCACTTTTAGTTTACATCAAAATCTTCTCAAGAAGATTTTTAAAATCCGAAACATAAAATTGTAATAAACAGAAATTCATCAAAAGTGACAGCTCTCAATTTTTTGACATTTGTAAATTCTAAATTGAATGAGAAAAATGAAATAATACTAAGCATAATACAATATTCTAGATTTAATTATAATTAGGAAAAAGTTAGTTTTGAGAGTACTTTTCATAGGCATATAGAATGAAATCTTCTGAAAAATAATATCACATAAACTCATATTATTTTCTAATATATAACTATTTTATATAAAAATCAAATTCAATGATCTTAAAAGCGAAGGATAAACCTCAAAATTTACGAATATAATGAGTGGGAATATAATGCTTATCTATCATAAAACCATATGAAATATCAATTTTTGCTTTACGCCTAATTTTTGACGACAATTAGCAAAAAATGTTAAATGTTAACACTCAGTCCATTTGAATATGAAAAATAAAATTGACTTTGATTAAATGTTTTTATTTATCATGCAATTTTCTTGCGACCAAAGATTTGAATAAAATTTCAAAAAATAAGATAGCTTAAAAAATAATATACGGTAGTGTTTACTAATAGATGAATAGTATATAAATTCTATTAAAATGGATTTGATCCAAAAAAATATATAAAATTTGATCATAAATAAAATTGTTTTAAATTACTTCTTCATTTAAATTATTCAATTTCAAAAAAAAAAAAAAAAAAAAGGGTATTGGGGCCTCCAGGCACTTCGTGCCCTCTAGCCCCTGAAGATGTTTAGTATGCAATGAGGTATAAAATGAGGTTTTTTTGGGTGTTGTCGGGCTTCCAGGCACTTCGTGCCTTCTAGCCCTTAAAATTTTTGAAAGTCGTTGCTGTTGACTTTTCGGTAGAGGACTCAAAATAGTATAACTATGTCCGGACAAGTAAGGGTCTATCGTCGCTACAGTAAAGTTACGGGCGTTCAAGGAAGTATACTTTGAGAGACTCTTTAGAAACTTTAGACGTTTTACATAACCATCCATGTTTTTACTTTACATCCGATAAAAGTGGTTTGGAAACCGTTATGAGATGGTTAGAGGACATACATGACTGTGAGTTTTAGATACGATAAGATAGAATATGAGAGAGGTCCTATAAACCGGAGAAAGTGTCATATAAACATCTGTCAAAAGCCTCTTTTTTACTTCACTTAAAATGCCACGTAAGATACGTAAGAATATACGTAAGAGGAAGAGAGCATTGAAACATCCAATAGTAAGACTAACACCACAACAACAGTTGCAACAACAAATGCTGAATGACCCCACTATGTTGCAACAAATGTCAAGCAATCCTATGCTTTTAAACCGAGTTTTTGGTGCACAGAGTGGAGGTTTAAGAGCGGCACTTTTAGCGAAAATGGCAGGCTATGGTGGAGCTGCAGACGGAACAGCCTATAACCCTCAAAGTCAAATGAATTTGAGTTCACTCAAAAATCAAATATCAGATGTCAAAAAGTCAAACATAGACATACAGAAGCAAATAAGTGAAAACGAAAAGAAACTAGAATATGACAGACACACAAAGAAACTCAATGAGTTAAACGTAGAGAAAAAGAAGAAAGAAGAACAACTGAAAGAACTAAGTACAGAGGAATATGCGAAAAAAGTGTCAGAAAAAGCAGCAGAAGTAGCAAAAATGGAACAAGATGTCATAAATTTGAAAAACCATACTACTCAATATAAAGTACTGAAAGATGAAGAGATAAAACAAAAAGTCCTGAAGACATATATGGATAGCGATGAGTATAAAAAAGAAGTTGAAGCAAATGTAAAGGCAGAAAAACTTTTACAGTTGCAAAACCAAACCGTACAGTATGAAAACTTAGCACAAGAAAGTAAAAATGACGACGCGGCTATGCAAAAGGCAATGAAAAGCGCAGAATATATAAAAGCTAACAATGACTGGTTAGATGCCCAAGCCAACGCCAAAGCAGCCCAACTTATAGGGTCAATAAGGACAAAAATACAAGCGGATGAAGACAGTTCAAATGAAGCTTTAACAAATGCTGACTTTAAGAACGCCTTCGAAGCTCTTCATAGTAAGGTGAAACTAGTGAACGACTTCTCATCTGGAAAGAAAATGAAGTCTGAAGGTTTCGACAACGAGTTAAAAGAAGTAGCACAAAATATGACGAAAATAACAGATGCAGCAACGAGACAGGCAGTTCAAAGTGCCTATGACGCCGTTAGAGCAACTGTTGTGGAAAGTCAAGAAAAAGAGTTACAACAGACCAAAACAGACCTAGTAAATGCTTTCTTAAAAACGAAAAGTCAGGTAGGACATTACGCTGCAGATGGAACATATGTGCCAGCTGGTGGAACATATATACCAGCTGGTGGAACTTATATACTAGCTAGTGGAACCTATATACCACCAAACCCTCCAAGAGAAGCACCTGCACCAGGACTACCTAAAACATTTACATCGTCACATGGACACAGACACAAGCATGCACCAAAACCAACACAACAACCAACAGTTCAAAATCCAGCACAACAACAACAACCAGCACAACAACCACCTCCACAACCAGCACAACAACCAACAGTTCAAAACACTGCACAACAACAACCACAAACAGAGCAAGGACATAAAAGAAGTAGAGAACAAGGAAACCAAGAATTCTTAAAAATGCTTAAAGAAGACTATGGTTACCCAGATACTCTTGACTTTAGTGACAGATATAAAGAAGCTATTAGAAAGTTCAAGGAAGGAAATACTGACCCGAACCTATTTAGCTTTATGGCTCAGCACCAAATGGGATATAATTTCAAACCTGGAAAATACAAGCTCGCTAAGGGATATGATTTAATAGCATATCATCCAAATGACATGAACGAATTTACTCCGAGATATTTGGTGTCAGAGCTAAATGACAATTCAACTCTCTTCATGAAACGCGTAAAAAATAGAGACGGAACGAAAGAAGAAAGGTTTATGAGTCCGGATGACTTAGATAGGGAATTGTTGAAAACGGTCTCGGAATATATGAAATGCCAGCAGATGAGGTACAAGAAACTCCACAGGAAGAAGTTCAGATACAACCAGACATGGAAGAAATAGTTCAGCAACAACAGCTAGAAGAGCCTGAAGGAAACGAACAAGTCCCTCCTTTGGAAACTAACTTCACAGAACTAGATGAAGATTTGGAACAGCCGAAAAATCTTGACCCTCAACAAGAGTATGAGGTGAATATGGAATCTTTCCAAGAGTCTAAAAAAAATTCGGCTGACATAGTAGAAGAATATCGAAAAATGTTTGCCGACATACAAAAGACTCCAACACCAGATGAAAATATTCAGCATAGAATGGAAGTACTGAAAGAAAATGTACGCAAATACAACAACCCTTTTTACTTACGACCATACAACGTTCAATCTTTGGATGAACTCGGTGAAAATAAAAGGTTAAATTTCAACAAAACATATAGAAATGAAACATTGTTTAAAGTTCATTCAGAACCTAACCAAGATGGAAACAAACCTACTTTTGTTTCTGCAGACTATGGAACTACAATGAGATGGGGTCATAAAGCTAATCCGGATAGGTGGTTCATAAACTTACAACCTCAATTCCAAGAAGTTGTAGACGCAATGGAAGTGAATGGTGAACCAGATATAGCTGGTATTTTAAGCGCGGCTTTAATGCCATTGAAAGATATGAAAGATGCAGATATTTTGGACCAGTATGAAATGAACATGGCTGATGGAAATATAACACCTGACGTTCTAAAACATTTATCTCAAAGAACTACACAGAACCATAGAGATGGTATATTTGGTGAAGAGTTTAGAAAGAAAGTTAGGGAGGGAGAAGGAAGAGAACCTATTGTACATGACCTTGCAAACGAAAGTTTGCAAAATGTCATAAAAACTTACTTTGCAGACAATGAACTGAGAAGGGATGAATATTTAAGAAAACTCAAATGGACAGTACCAAATGAAATGTTAGTATTGAAAAACATGTTCCTTGACAAAATAAAACCAACTACAGAAATAAATGACCCAAGCCTGAAACGTTGGGTAAAAGCTTTCCCATTCACAAAAGATATTGTTGGTAACATGGAAAGAAAACCAGAATGGCTACAAAAACATATATTTGGAAACGAGCTTATTCCATATGGACAGGCACTGTTTGAAGAGCTTGAACCGGAAACTCAGGAAAGAGTCATGCAAACAATACGCGAAGACTCAAATACAAACTATGACAAAATCTTTCTAGGATATAGGTTACCTGAGATGGGCGACCAGAGCCCAAAGGCAAAAAGGACATGGGAAATTTACAACATACTAGGTGAACATGAGGCAAAGATGCAACAACTTGAAGCAGAGGGCAAGTTACCAAAAGCGACACCAAAGAAGAAGAGAAGAGTAGAACAAAGTGAAAGTAGTGAAGAAGTAACTTCATCTAGTGAAAGTAGTGGCAATGAAGGAAAAAGAAGAGTTAAAAACTCAGTCAGGAAGAAAGTAAAGCTTGGTCCGAGCGGGTTCTATTATGACATATAAATCCAACTATTCTATATTTTTACCCATATGAAATGTACGCCGCTCAGAATATAACGCCAACAGTTTTGGATGCCATGAATGGAAATGTTTCCGAATGGTATAACGAATGCGACAATGCTATTAGAAGGTCAGAAATAGTTCCTGGAACTTACGAATATACAACTGCTGTTTCTTATGGAAACGTAGGTGAGTTTGGAGAAGGTTCTTCAACAACAGTAGATATTGCTTGCGACAGGTTTCATATAATTTCTATTGACAACTCATTCTTATACGTGGAACAAGACATTGAAATAAAACCTTCTGCCAAGTTGTCTGACAAGAAAGGTTGCAATGGAATTTTCTATGTCGGATACCAATATGCTCCAGAAGTTTTCATGGAATATAAGATATATTCTAACTCTGACTTAGTTCAAACAGTAACATGGGCAAACTATGAATGGTTCGCTTTGAGAAACTCAGTACAACCACAAGCTAGAGAACAAACAGACCAGTATGCAACCATTGAGAAAATAAGAAGACTTGACCCTAACGTTCCAGGAGTTTATGTTAACCTTTCTGGACAAACTGCAGCAGCAGTAACCAAAGTAAAACTGAAACTTAGAGTTCCTTTGTCATCTTTCCTTATCTTCAGGTTTTTAAGATACTTGCCAAACTGGGCAGGAAAAATTTCTATCGAACTTACTCCAAGCAAAAATAACTTAGTCATTGCACCAACACAAGACCCATTCACTCTTACAGACGTAAAGGGAGCAAATCAAACGTCATTCGCCGAATTTTGCAAAGACAAAGTTGACTTAGACTTTGGTTTCTCAAACTTCAACACTGAAGTAAACTATTATTTCAATGCTGCTGGAACTGCTTGGGACCCAGTTAAGTTTACATGCGAAAAATTTGAATGCAAGAGAATAGAAAGCAGACTTGCAGTCTATATGTTGGACCCAGATATTTCAAATGCTTTAGCTGCCAAATATATTGCAGTTCCACTTATGTTCCCTATACACCAAATATCTGTCAAAGACTTTGCAGGTGAAGTTGGAAACCAAAGTGCTGACCCAGGTGCAAGAACAGATATTGCTTTAACAACTGCAATGAAACATGCAGATACTATGTTTGTACTGTTCAGACGAACTATAAATGACTATTCTTGTTTCTACAACCCCGGTATTAAATATCATATAAACATAGATGGCAAATATTATCCAAGAGAAGAATATTCTACAGTTGAGGATATGAGGTCATACAACTTGACATTAGATGCTATGAACTTTAACAACAACTTCACAACAACCATTAACCCTGAAATGCAAAGTTCTATTATGCCATATGTGAAAGTATGGACCCATGCAGGAGGTCAAAAAACTCAATATACAAATGGAGACCGTTCAAACTTTTGGCTTGGCATTCCATTTGCTGACTCAGAAGACTTTATGGGTGGTATTTCAACTGTTGGTACAGTTCAAATACAATATACTGGTGACAGAGACGGTCCAGATGAATTGAAAGCAAAGAAGTTTACAAAACCAATAGCACTTTTCACGGAAGATGCTCTTTTGAAGATTCGTTCGATGAAACCTGCTGGAGCTCCTCAGATTGGCATAACGACAGCTTCCATCGAGCAGATTTTGGCAGCAGGTCAGTAAGTTGTTCTTGAACTGACTTCTCTCCGTCAAATATTGACAGTACGCCAGTTTTGACATAAAATTGTAAGATAAACTTACCTTTAGAAATATCTGTAAGTTTTGTTGTTATATTTTTGTCAACGTCAAGAACTTTCACCATTTCAGTTATACCAACTTTCTTTGCTTTATGAAAATATTTTGGTTCAGCAAATATTGCTATTCTATAACATTTTCCATTGTTTGTGTAAAGAACTATTCTGTCAATGAACTTGTATTGTTTGTGTGTGTAAACTTTGTTCTGCTTCAATTCGAAGAGATACTCAAATACGTCCATCTTTTTATTCGAAGTAAAATGTCATTTCCGAAAAATAGAAGCGTAAGTGTTTCAAAAGGTTTAATGGCGGTGGCAGATGTGAAGTTAAATTCACCAACTCAAACAAACAGTCAAAGTGTTGTTGTCAATGTCAAAGACAGAGATGTTGAAGTGGGGAAACCATACGAAGACGAAGATGGTATAACAATAGTTCCTGTAAAAGAACAACCAACATATCCTGAAGTTAGCAGAGACTTAAGTTCTGTTGCAGATATTCGAAATGACTACCAACAACTTAAAGACAAACTTAAAACTCAGGAGAAGATTTGTCAAGCTTTAGGTATAATGTTAAACTTGGTCGAACACAACCCTGTAAAAGTGAACTCATATGTCATTGCACCTCATGAAGTTTTGAAAGAACTATTGAAACTTTTGACAGAGGCAGACGATATAAACATCAAAGAAATAGAACCCGACATTGCTTGCTGTGGTGTTTCATATAATGTCATTGACAAGATATACGTTATGAAAGGAGGTGAAACGTTGAACTTAAAATATAGTTTCCCAGACGTTATAAAAATATTTGACGACCACAACATTTCATTAAAATTTAGTTGCTAAGTAAATGGCAGAAGACATAGTGGTTTATACTATTACGACTAAAAACCCTGAGTCATATAATTCTATAACAACAAACTTACAAAGTCCTCAAGGACGATATTGTAAACTAACCTTAAACACAATGACGACTAAAGCCTGTTTTGCTCTTTTGACACCAGAAGACTTTGTTGTTGTGAATGGTAAAAGATACTCCTTTGAAGATACTTACTCAGATATACCACCAACAGGTTTTGTTGACTTATTTAATACTTTAAGGACGGATGTAACATGTGCTGCAACTAGAGCAGGTTTCATTATGTTTGGATGTCCGACTGAGTTTAGTATAAACGATATGAGCTATAATACAAAACTTATATCTGGTTTTTACTACCAACAGTTTCCTATAACAGGAAAAGGTGTCATACAAGGTCTATCTGTTCCATTGACTTTAAGTACACCTATTTTATATATTGTTTCAAACTTAGGTTCAAAGTGTTATTCGAATGTCGACAGAAACTACTATGACCAAAAGATACTCATGCGTATAAACAACACTTTCTCTGCTGGTTTGCCTATTGTTCATTCGAATGCAGAGTTTTCAGCTTTAGTAAACTCAAACACTTTAGCAAACATAAACTTAACCTTAGTTGACGCAAACTTTGTTCCTGTAAAACTTTTATGTCCTATGTATTTGTCAATGACGGCAGAAAGTTTCGAATTGGAAGATGCAACTGGTGAAAGTATTGTACTACAAGAACAACTTCAACAACAAATAGCTCAAGAACAACAAAGTCAAGAATAAAAAAAATATTTTTTTTTATTTTTATAAAAATGTACAGAATAGATGTTTCAGATTTTTATGACTTCCAAGCCTTCAGAAATATGTGTCCATTTAG